CTTAGCAGCCTTTGGCCTTATATTCATGAATAATAATTATTATAACAGGTATTCATGATAATGATTATAACAGATAGCACATGGGGTTTTTCATTCCGCATCATTCTTTAATGATTAGAATGCCAATTTTAGCTCATAATGCAATGTTTCAATGCAATAAAAAATAATTATTACGTTCAACATTTTGTAAATTTTGTTTCAACACTTTTTTTTGTCAGTGACAAGGGATAGAACTAAGGCTGGGTTCACACCTGGGCGTTTTTCAGCGCTGATCGAAGCGCTGAAAAACGCTAAGCAAGTGAAATCCCATGATTCCCTATGGACATGGTTCCCACCTGGGCATATTTCAGCCCGTGGAAAAACGCCCTACGCCCAAACAAGTACAGGAGCTTCTTTGGGGCGTTTTTCCACGCGTTTCCATTGGTATTCCCGAGTGTGGCTCAGAGTTAACAAAGCGGTAACCCCGAGCCACACTCAGGAATACAGCGTAGGAATTACCTTGTCCGTGATCCCCGCTGTGTCCTCCCGCCGCTGCCGACTTCCGGGTTCCATCCCTTGCGAGTGGCCGTGTCGCAGGGGAGCGGAAACCGGGGGGAACTTTGAAAGTTTAAAAAAAAAAAACAGAAAAAAAAGATAGAGAAAATGAAAGAAAAAAAAAAATCATACTGCCAGGGAGGTATAAAAACGAGCGTCGAATGCGTGTTTCACTGAACGAAAAAACGTGCTGAAAAACAAGCTGAAAAACGAGCAGAAAAAACGCGCCTATGGTACGCCCAGGTGTGAACCCAGCATAAGTGTCGAATAAAAAATTTAATAAATCAATTACATTAATGTCAATAGCATTAATACAGCTGTTTTTGTCTTTCTGAATCCCCCTGTAAGCAGTTCCAGGGGTTGGGAGAATGAGAAAAACTGCCGTGTTGATGCTCATAGAAGACTCCCTCATTTATCTTTCGTTTTATTATGCCAAATTTTACATTTTAATGTGAAGAAGTTATGATGTATCTGCAGAAAGAATGTCATTTTGATGCAGTCTGTACATAGGCCTAGTACTAGATGGAGCTTCGGAAATAAGTATTGATGTCCTATGTGCAGCTCTCTCTAGTGGCCATAATGAATTATTACATTACAATGCCTGAAAAGATAATATATCTTAGTTTTTGCCATTATTTACACAGACAAAGCCTTCACAGATATTTTCAGGGTGAATGGCCCTGTAAATTGTTTATAAATAGACCCCTTTGTGTATGTATAGCCCAAACATTTCTAGTTTTGGATAGCACAGGGAATGGTTAAAACTCTTTTTTTTTTTTTTTTATGTAGATGAAACTGCAAGCTTGGTCTTTGACATTGGCTCCTTTTCAATACGTGCCGGCTATGCCAGAGATGATGTACCTAAGGTAAGAACTAATAATTTAAGAGAATTCTATTTCCTTTGTAATTTTTTTTTCCAGCTATTGGAAGAATAAAGGGAAAAAAACCTGATCTGTTATTAACCATCAGCTACAGGAGTGCCCTAGAGACCACTAAGGCTGGGTTCACACCTAGGCGTATCGAATATGTGCGTTTTTAGCGCGTTTTTTACCGCGATTCGCGGTAAAAAAAAGCGCGACAAACGCGCATTTCCGAGGGCTACCTGGCTGTATCCCAATGGATACGCACGGCAAATACGCCCCAAAGAAGCTCCTGTACTTCTTTGGGCGTATGGCGTTTTGCAGTGCGTTCCTACGCGCTGTAAAACGCCCAGGTGGGAACCATGCCCATAGGCAATCATTGTTTTTCACATGTTGAGCGTTTCACAGAGCTTAGGAACGCGCTGTAAAACGCCCAGGTGTGAACCAGGCCTAAAAAGAAATAACTCTGAGCTGTTAAGTTACAATTCTATGTGAATCTCTCCGAGCTCTAAGATAATTCCAATATGATATCTCTTAGCTTTACTTTACTTCATGAGGGCACACTTTACTTCATGAGGGCACACTTAGGGGTCTATAAATAAACACTTCACAGAGACATTCGTCCTGCAGATCTCTGTGAAAGTTTTTTCTGTGCGAATAATGGCAAAAATTGACTTTCTTGAGTATATTTTCTTTTCGGGTCGAATGTAATCTAATACTGCATAATGGCCACTAGATGGCGCTTAGGAGCATATGAAATAAATACTTATTTTGTATGCTCCTCAGTTCCATCTAGTTGCCATATTTCAGTATTACATTATATTCGACCTAAACGGAAATATTTGTCTAGTTGCAGAAAACGAATGTTCACAGAGATTTACAGGGTGAATGGCTCTGCAAATTGTTTATATATAGACCCCTAAGTGCAATGTCAGCAGGGTATTTTGAGCCATTGTTCAAAATAGAAATTGTTTTTTGTGCAAACGTTACCAATGACAAAGGTACAAACACAATGCAAACAAAGCCCAATCTCTAGTATGTATTTATCATTATGTCCTACACATTTGGAGCTTTCTGAGTACATTTATCTCCACTGAAAGGTACCTCGTGCATCTCATAATCACGGATTCTAATGCAGCATCAGACTTTCCTGATGTCTACCCTGATCACAACTGGCAACATACTTTGGCTGTGGTGCAGATGTTGTAAGCCACTGATGGGATCAATTAGTCAAACAACCTACATGGAGCCTGCAAAGCTAGCTGTCATCATGGTGGACATCAATTATATCTCATCATGCATTATAGCAAGGTGGCAGGTGATGGGAAGCTATCTCCCACTCTCCATATTATTGAGGCTGCCATTGCTGAAAATACTAGTTACTTGGCTGTCTCTGGCTTCTAAATTTCACTCACTGACTTGGAACCAGCTTGAGGCTAGAAAAGTCTGGGGAAGGAAAGAAGTCTGCATACTTGTCCTTGCTTGAAGTCTTTTAATATAACAGCCAGGCAACTACCATTTTTAAAAGGCAGGAGAGCAATAGTGCCGGACATAATGTATTTTTATAGTTCTATTTCCTTGAACCCGAGAGCAAGCAGCTTCTTGGAGTTTGTCTGGAACCTGAAGGGCTGAGTGTGGTTTTGTCCTGTGAACGTGTGTGACTGTGAAGGAGAGTCTGTGAACTGTACTCAAAACACCAAGATCATAAGTTAGAATTCTGGGACAGTAAATCTAAATTCTGAGGGAATATCCAAGAGCTTTGACGTATCTGAGAATACTGGTATATTATCTCAAAGTTATTAGATGATTTGTTTAGTTGGCCACGTGGCTCTTAATGTTTATTAGGTGTTAATGCACATTCTTCCATGTGTATTGAATGGGCTGTTAATGCGCCTCAACACATGAAAATACCACACCTGCACGATTTTTACCAAAGCAGCAAACCATCATACACAGAGAGTTCATTTCACTGCATGTATGAATGTGGCCCTACGAATGTGGAAAGTGGATTTACCCCATGATATCACTTAAGGATCAGACAAAAGCTCTGAATGTTGAACTAAAATCTGTAGAGCTCTAAATGCATGCTGGGAAGAGCATCATAATCTCATTTTTAGCAAAACCTGTTATGAAGATGCCTGGTTATTGAGGTTACTGCAGCAGATCCCTGAAATATTGCTCGTGGTGGGTTATTACACACTGAGCGTCATTGTTACTCTATGCATCCCGTACTGAATACACCATATGTCTTCTACAGGTAGATTTTCCTACAACGATTGGTGCTGTGCTTGGAAGAGAGGATGGCTGCATCCCGACGTATTACATCGATACTAAGTCAGATGAGCTACCCCTGGAAAACATGGAGGCTGTATCACCATTTAAAGATGGACTTAGTAAGACTTTCTCTGTAATTTGCAGTTTTGACTATATCATTATAGGGATCCCAAGCTGAAATAAGTCATTTCAGGGAGGTGCCCTTCTCATTTCAGGGAGGTGCCTTCTGTCCCAACCACAGGGGGAGGGGGGTGCAACAACAAGGAAGAGAGCACCCCCCTGAAATGATGGCAGGTAGCAAAGAAGCTAATGCTTCCCTTGCTATCTGCTGTTTTTTTTAGTATTCTGACAGCTGCTGCCATCAGAATAAAAAAAACAAAAACAAAAAAAAACAGCATAGGAATGAATAGCTAGATTGCTATTGGCTATTTCAATTTGCAATAGCCAGTAGCAATCTGGCTATTGCACCCGCCCTCTGTTGCTGTCAGTCAGTAAAGGAGGACCTGATGGAGAACTTCAGGTCCACCTATGCTGATTGACAGCAGCAGTGGGCGGGTGCAATAGCTAGTATGATATGACTGTATGATATGTTATGTTGCACCCTAATGTGTATAGCAGTAAGGCATCACTGTCAATGCACCACAATTGACAAAATAATGCAGCATTTTTTTGTAGGCAGCACACCACTTTCCATGTTAGTGTATTACCATGCATTGTGATGTCCTGCACCACATGTATGCTGGAGGTACGTCGGGGTATCATTGAATATAAATGACACCGCAATGTGCTAACATATGTAGCGTGTTACATGTAAGGTGCCTTGGGGTGCTATTGACTATAAATGAAACAGCAATGTGCTAACACATGTAACATACGTTAATGTGCGTTTCAGTAACACATACATTCCCACAGCCCAACGCACTGGTGGAGTGTAAATTTAATTTCATTTAATTTCCTAAACTTTTACCCCCAACCATTGACTCTAACTAAACACTTAATAAACTCCCCAAACCAAGCACCTACTTTATGAAATTTTAGGAATATTGGTGCCAAAATGTTTACTCTTCCACACTATGGTCTCAGCATAGCACCAACCTGCTCTACACCTAACCTGTAGTTGTACCCTTGAGAGTGTAATACATTGAGAAGGCTTCCAAAAAGGTCACACTCACACAGAGCAGGAATCACTACCTCCTATTTCAGTGTGACATCATTTACTTATCAGACAGGAAAAGGCCAGCTGGGACAAACTGATTTCCTTATTAGGATTCGATGAAGTCAGCTTTAGGTACAGGTGACATTCTTAACCATATATAGTAGAAGGCATTGTTTATTACAGGGTTATCATGGTTTCCTCTGGCATTTAACATGTTATTACTGATTAAGCAGTAGACTTTAATCTCTCTTCTAGTTTTAAATTGTTTTATGGTCTTGAATGCATGCGTTTGTAAAAAAAAAAAAGGAAATTATGTATTGTCACCAATGACAATCTTACATCATCAAGAAACAAAGATATGCTGAAGATAATTAAATTTTTATCAACATTGTATTTTTTCCTTGCAGTTGAAGATTGGGACGGTTTCCAGGCTATTCTAGATTATACTTTCAAATCTCTCAATGCAAAATCTCGTTTACAACCAGTGCTCATGTCTGAAGCAGTTGTAAGTAAAATAATTATTTGTGTTCTCTTTCAAATGCTGCTTTATGCATTCACATACATTGACAGTATGGTCACCTGCTAAATCAGCACAATCCACAGACAGCTTAACTCTCCAACAAGAAAGAAGTTTATTCCAGCTCAGTTTTACTTCTCAGTGTGCAGTGCAGAGGATGTTTTTTCAGTCTCTTAAAGTGTAAGAAAATTATCTTCTCAGGATAATGTCTACTATGAAGGCTAGCACTGGGGGAGGGGGAGAGGGACATACTGAGGGAATATGGAGAAGGAAGGAAGGGCCTACCTGAAGACTGTACCAACTGACTCTAAACAGGAGGAGAGAACAAAGGGAGATACAAAATGTACAAAAATAAACAATTTGTGGTAGTGTTACTCTACCACTAGATGTCAGGTACAGGTCAAATATATTGATAGTGAAATTGTTTATGCCAGTGCATCTTTCAAGTTCATGTCTTTTATACACTATGTGATTGATTCACCACTAGTACATTCATATGCAAGTAAAATTGGACCATTAACCCTTTAACAAGGGTAAAAAAATCACATCAGCATGCACCTCTGCATGCTAATGTGAAATAATCTTATAATGATACAAAAAAATATTTTTTTTTCTATTACTTATCTTTACTTGGTTATCATCTCCTGGTCTTCTTGGGTACTGGTTAGGGATATCCCGATGCCACTTTTTCAGGCCCAAGTACAAGTACATCCCCTCATGTACTTGCTGATACCAATTACCGATACTTTTTCTTAAAGGGACAGGTGACTTTAAATGATCCATAGTACAACTACATGTTATGTACTATGGATTATGATTTAACCTATTCATGTTAGCAGGGGAGAATTGTAAATCTATTGCTGGAGTGTAGTGGAGGTGTGTGCTGTATATATGTACTACATATACATTACACACATCTATAGCAATAGATTTGCAGCCAGCCCCGTCCCAGCTTCCCTCACTTACAGTTTCACTCCGATCCCTGTTGCCTCACGCGGTGCCTCTTGTAGTCAGCGCTGGGCAGGATCGCTGCAGCACGTCTCTGTGTTCAGATTGGCCGCTGCAGGTTTTTATTTTTCTTACTTACCTCGCCCAGCGTCACGTCACTGCTGCTCCGGTGAGCGGCGCTCCGAGCGGGGTCATCTGGCAGTCTCCGGCCACCTAAATTAGGACCCCACCTGGAACTCCGCCCACCAGAGCAGCAGTGACGCCACGATCGGCGAGGCAAGTAAGAAAAAAAAACATAGCGCAAGCTTCATCGAGGCGTTTTGACAAGTACAAGTACTTATCAAAACGCCCTGTATCGGGCCCGATTCCGATGCTAGCATCGGTATTGGGACATCCCCAGTACTGGTGATGTAGACAGGGCATCATAGGCAGGGCCGGATTTCCCACAAGGCCTACCAAGGCCCGGCCTCGAGGCAGCAGGGAGTAGAGGGGCAGCAGGGTTGTGGAATTCCTATCGCCCGAAGCCTGGGACATGCAGTTCTGGGTCCTGGGTGGGTAGTTGTTTTCTACATTTAGCCCTGCTTTGGGCAAGCAGAGCTGAATGTACAGCGGGCAAGCCACCACTTGTTTTGTACATTGAGGAACCTGGTCTTGGGGCAGCAGAGAGAGTAAATCCAGCCCTGATCATAGATGCCCCCGAACGGCTACATCACCAGTGCCTTCCAGGGAGATCTTGAGTCCTAAATGTGAGACCTTGATGCTGGCATCTAGTATGCAGCAGCATATTAGGTTACAGGTGTCACATCTACTGCCCTCTGGTGTTGTTCACAGATGACAAAGGAACTCAATATTTCACTCTACAATGATGGGCAGGATGGGAGGAGCAGTGGAACACACAGGGAAAGTTTGAATTGTCTCCATGAGAAGATGACTGTTACAGGAATACCTCACATGCTGTAAATAGAATACACTTTAAAATTATAAAGTTTCCAGATTTTCACAACTTCTTTCAGGTTCATTGCAATTTGGATATGAAAGAAAATAATTTTAACTCTTCTAAAAAGGAAAATCTCATCATGGGAACTTTAGTAGGAAGAGGCTATTGACGACAAATTAGAACATATTAAGCCTAATTCGCAAAGCTTTAACACTAGGATAAGGATCTTTATTTTAGCTATGTGATTATAATTTTTACATCTCATTGGACTCGGTTGAAAATAACTGTCATTTTGTAATAAGGATCCTTATCTTGCTGTGTTAGCTGGGTGATTTGAGCCTAATGTCAGTTACCCCACTTGCTGAAACCTGGTATTTTAAAGACCTATTCTGTTCATTTGCATCACCAAAGCCATTCCATGGTAAATGGAAAATCCTATGATAAATACTATACACAGGTTAAATTAGGTGGGGGTAGATCATATCAACTGAGTATTAGAGGTGTGTAAGACTATCATCTTCTTACTATAACCTGGCTCTACCCAAAACTCTTTGATGGAGTTCCTTTTTAAGAATGGCAACTTTTAAAATGAATAAAAGTAATTTGCTAATGTAAGTTTCCAGACTTGTAATTAAAGAATGCCAAGGGAGCTTTGAGTACAATTGAAAAGCCATGAAACTAATGTGTTTGTTTCTCATTTATTATCTTAGTGGAATACAAGAGAAAAACGTGAGAAGCTGACTGAGCTGATGTTTGAGCATTACCATATTCCAGCATTTTATCTAAGCAAAAGTGTAGTTCTCTCAACGTATCCTTCCTGATGCTCACCATAGTCAGGTTTATATGACCACCAATAGTAGAGTGAACTGATTTAGATAGGCTCCACCGCTTTTATTAGGAAACACGTCACCCTCAGTTGTTTCAAAAAACCCACCTCTCTCCTAGCTCCTCAGTTTTTCGTGTTTCCTACGTCAGGGGGGAGCATGTCACCGGAATGGCGAGGGGGCCTTTCTGTGGAGATGTGTACCGATCGGTTTTTCATGGGTCCTTCCAAGCCATTACCGGCTGGATTACAGGACAGCGTTACCTTATATGGGCCGCTGGTGCGCTCCATTTGCCGTAGGGGATTCCACACCAGGTCCTCCATCTTTTTCAGTGCCCGAGAAGGGCCAGCACCGGAACTGCGCTACCCCCTTGGCTGAGCCCTCGGACCGGAGGGCTAGTAGTCAGGTGCCGCTGGTCTGGGGGTTCCGGCAGTTACTCCAGCGCCGGATCGGAGGACCGATTAGGTCACTTCCGGTGCGGGTGACGCACTTCCGGGCACCGCAGGCCTTGCGTTCCAGGCCTCGTTTCCAGTGCAGAGGATGGGGGCGGGCCTGTCTAGTGCATGAGGTGTGATCACAGGCCTCACTGTGAAATATCACCGGTGGGAGAACCAGTTTCCCTTCATGATGGATGCTGCTACTCCTCTCCAGACCGCTCAGGGGGATACAGGTCCTTCAGGCACCAGCTCTGCTCAGGTAGGTGAATGCTTCCATGCACTCACTCCCTGTAGTTGACTACACTTTTTTGTTCTTCCACCTGGGGCTCCTTGGTGTTGGGCCTTACGGTGTGAGGGGGCACTAGGGGGTTAGGTGAGTAATTTCTGCCTTTTCTGTGTTGCAGGTCCAGGTTACTAAGGGCAAGGTGGTCCTTAAGAGGAAGTGTGCAGTCTGCTCCATAAAGCTGGGGTCGGATTGGAAAAAACCTCTGTGTCAAAAATGCATCGAAGGGGTATGCAGGGAAGAGTCTACCTCGGCATGCAGTACCCTTTGGTCCACGGTTAGGGAGGAACTGGTCTCTACCTTTTCCTCTTTTAGATCCCCGATAACTGAATTAAGACCACCTTTAGCACAGTCCCTGGTGCCCGGATCTCCAGCTCTTGCTCAGCAGCTCCAGACAGTGTCCAGGTCAGGAAGGGTCTGTCAGAGAGAGCCAGAGGAGGTTAATGTCGCTGTGTCCTCTCATCAGGGATCTTCTGCTGAGGACAGTGACAGGGATGATGGTCCCCTTGTCCCTAGGTACAAATTATCTCTGGAAGAGGTGGAGGAATTGTTAGGTGCCGTGTATGATACCCTGGATATTAAGGAGGAGAAGGTGCTGCTATCTAGGCACGACTTGATGTACCAGGGACTTCAGCAGCAAAAGGCCAGAGTTTTTCCGGTGCACAAGTGATCGCGGACAACATCTTTAAGGAATGGTCAGAACTAGAGAGGAAACCTCTTTTTTCTAACAATTTGAAAGGCGATTTTCCTTTTGATGAGGATGCATCACTGCCATGGAACAAGGTTCCTGAAATTGATGCATCATTGTCGAAGATTTCTAGGAAATCTGATCTGGCATTTGAAGATATGGGTGTGCTCAAAGACCCTATGGATAGGAAGGCTGAGGTCTTGCTTAAGAGGGCATGGGACTCGGCTGGTACTAGTCTCAGGCAGGCTTTGGCAACAACATGCGTTGCCAGGAACCTGGAATTCTGGCTTACCCAGCTGCAGAGTCACTTGGTGGCTAATCAGAAAGAGGCAAGTTTTCACCACCTGGATGTTAGACGCTGCCTGATAGAGTACCTTAGAGTGACTAGAACATTCAGGAAATCGGATGCCCTTTTTGTTCTTTTTTTCTGGAAAGGATAAGGGTCAACAGGCCTCCAAGGCTTCAATAGCTAGGTGGGTAAAGCTATGTATTCAGGAGGCTTACGGGGCTAAACAGGTTAGTGTTCCGCTTTTTTTAAATGCACACTCTACCAGGGGACTAGCCACCTTGTGGGCAGAGAGAGCTGGTGCCACTCCGGAGCAGATCTGTAAGGCCGCAACCTGGTCGAGTTTTTCAACGTTTGTCCGCCATTAAAGGCTGGATTAGAATACGGCAGCAGAGCAGACACTTGGAAGAAAGGTGCTCCAAGCTGTAGTCCCGCCCTAAGTGGGTAAGTTCTTGTTTATCCTCTCGCAAGCTGTTCTGGAGGACGAAAGGGAAATTCAGAGTTAGACTTACCAGTAACTCTCTTTCCTATAGTCCTCCAGAACAGCTGGATTCCCGCCCTTGATATAGGAGTGGTGGTGAAATGTGATTTCAATATGATATTCTTTTGTTGTTTTGGTTCCTGTATTTACAGGGTCTTCCTACGGTTACAGTTGATACAACTGAGGAGCTAGGAGAGAGGCGGGCTTTTTGAAACAACTGAGGGTGACGTGTTTCCTAATAAAAGGGGTGGGGCCTATCTCTCGCAAGCTGTTCTGGAGGACTATAGAAAAGAGAGTTACTGGTAAGTCTAACTCTGAATATTACAGCCTGTATCTCAATGAGTCCAATGACCAAAACGAATATTTTGGGCTGTCGCTATCATCCATTTAGCTTATTTCATTCCTTTACGTTATGTGTTAACTTAGAGTCTCTTTATAGAGTTTTTAGAGAATTGGGGTGCAAGCAGCTACCTTGCTTAGGGCCCTATCTTGACTTAAATTTATACTAAACTCAGGATTTAAATCCTAAAAATGCATTCAAGTACCCTATTAACAAAATAGATCCTATTTGTGTATCATTCAGCACTCAAATCATCTCTGTATTCATGCTGACACTGTCCTTCCTTCTGGGGGTGGCTACTTTTGTTCCCCATGGTCCCTGTGTGTGTTTGTAAAGTAGCCACCGCTCCAAGCTCACTCTCGTTATAGACTACAATCTCACGTTTAGTTTACTAATTTGTATTGAGAGGAACTAAAGCTGAGTGATACACAAATAAGCTAAATTTTTGTTTATAGTTAAGGTACTTGAATGCATTATTAAGATTTAACTCCTGAGTTTAGTGTCACTTTAATCTGTCTCTGCATGCTAGTGCCCTCATGTGCTAGAAACCTTTTCCGTCTGGTTGCACTTTGATACCAATATCTGACTTCCTTGACTCCTTGTCTAAGCTCCACCAGCTGTTATTTTACTGTACAGTGCGAGTGCCCTCATTGACCAAAGAATTGTAATTGGACTGATAGATAACAATTGCTAGGTCTCAGCCCAGAACGCAAGTGGAGCCCCAGTAATAAAGTGAACCTAGGAAAGGATTGGCTTTCATTTGGTATAGTGTCTTTGATGAATGAAAACCTTCAAACATTCATCCTTATACTGTCATTTATTTTGCTTGGGATTGAATATGAATAGACTCTTTCGGGCAGAACTATGGCTTTTACTTATAGGAAAAATAGGATGTTTCCACAATGGGGTGTGCAAGTACCCAGAGGGAGAAAAGAAAAAGGGGCTTTTGAGAAATAATTCCAGGACCTCAAAAATAAAATCTTAGAAATACATTTATTGCAAAAATCGTTTTTTATACATTTAAAAATAAGCGAAAAAAACCACAGTAGGTAAAAAACATATGTGGGAAAAGTACAAAGAACAGACAACACTGTCACAGTACAATAATTCCTTTTACTTATACAATCAGATTTGCTAGTGGAAGAAATACTGGTCTGATTTTGGATAGTGGATCTAAATATACAGCAGCCATTCCAGTGCAGGATGGTAACATCATTTATAAAGGTAAGCACTCACTATAACATTATGTCAAGCTGCTTTTTTTTTTTTTTTTTTTTTTTTATGACCAATGCTTTTAGTCAAAGTGCCCACTGGGCGGTTTATTATTTTATCCAAGCTTTAATCTTAAGGGGCATATTTATAAAGCAGTAAATGTGTATTTTACCAAACATTCACTAGTGGTAAAACCATCACTTTCATTTAAAACACAATTGCCAGGTAGATTCAACTGCAGTGAATGTTTGAGGAATTTCATCACAAACTTTCTTGTCCTCACTCAGTCAAGTCTTCGATGTGAGGCCTGCACAGACTCTTTTTCAAAATATTTAGTGTTGGGTTCTTGCTCCTCCCTTGCATTAATCTTAATTTGATCCAATAGGCAGTTTGTACTTTTGTCTCCGCAAATCCCTTGTTGACTAAAGGCTCATTTGCAACACATTGCAACATGATTATTTTAGAGTATTTGAAAGGGGAAGGAGTTAATCCTAAACTAAATATGAACAAAATAATGTGTATAGCTAGGCCCTCAAACCTAATGACATGCTTGCCTTTGGCAGGTAATGTAATAACCAGGTGCTCAGTGGGTCTTCGCGTGCCTTCCTCTGTGCCAGGTCAAAGGCTCCTCAGCCTTCCCATAGAGCAGCACTGTCAGTTCTCTCGCCAAGCAGCCATTCAAAATATGCTGCCCAGCACCAAGTATCAACTTGAGGTGGGGTGGGCTGGGGGTATGGCCGTGTGGAAGCATTGTTTACAGCTCCCTCGCATGCCCAGTAGTGACGTTACATTCTGGCTCCCGGACCTCTACAGGGCACGCAAGGGAGCTGTGCAAGCAACGAACATATGGATGGTGCTCCGTCAAAGCACAGCAGCCCACACTGAACACCAGGCTGCGGATCCACTCCAGTTCTCATATGATATAGAGACTGGGTGGATCTTAAAAAAATAAATAAATATAATAATTTGTTTTGTAGTGTGTGAGATTGTGTCTGTGGTTGTGTGTGTGTCTGTCAGTCTTTTTGAGGGTCCATTCACACGAGCACAGTGCACTAATGGCACAGTCCCAAGCGGTTAACGCACTGTACCATGCAAACGTACCTACTGCAAATTCTGATGCGAGAGGTGCGTTGCGCTGTCATTTATATGAATGGTACCCCAAATGCACCTCTCGCCCACAGTTTGATTACCCACAATGGACCACACCGTACAGCAATGCCATGTGTTCCAATGCAGTGTGACTTGGATCGCAACTTAATGACCAAGGACAAATGTGGGTACTGAGGTTACACAGGTTGGGAACCACTGGTTTAATACAATGTTGTAATGATAGAGGTCGCTAGAGGGTGTGAGCATATAAATGTAACCATTGCTATCCCCAGAGTATCAATGGTTAGTTGTATATGCTCATTCCTTCCAGCATTGCCTTGAATTGTATCCCATTACTAACTTGTCTTATTTCCGATGATCCTCAGCTCCATCTAGTGACCATAATGTGATACAGGTATTCCTCACTTAACGACCGAGTTCCGTTCCTACGACCAGGTCGTTAAACGGATTGGTCGTTAAGTGAGGAACTCTATACAGTACTATACTGCATTAGTACAGTACTGTATAGCGTTGCCGCCGTCCCTTTCCCGAACAGTGTACTGTACATCCGGCAATGGAAATACTTACCGAGACCTGCAGTGAAGATCGGGGGATGTCACTTCCGCCGGCGACCCGTCGCACTGACGCTGACGCGGAAGGTCGGAGGTCGATCGGCGGTCCGTCGTAAGTGCGAGTGGTCGCAAAACAGGTAAGTCGGTAAGTGAGGAACATCTGTACTTTTCTCATGTACTCTGTTCTGTATGAATGAACATATAGGAGAATATTTGCCCAGAAGAGAAATTGCAATAAGAAAAATTGATTTGCCCCATTCTCACAACAGCTGGTTAACACCCACAGAACTAATGTACCTGCAGTTTCCCTGGTTGAATACATTATGTTAACTTTATATAAATAGACCTCAAATTGTTAATGTTCTTGGCAGGTATTGTAAAATCTCCTATTGCTGGAGACTTCATTACTACAGAGTGCAGAGAGTTGTTTCAACAGATGAACGTCGATCTGGTTCCCCCATATATGATTGATTCGAAGGTAAGATAAACTGGTAGAAGAAAAAAAGGTATTTACATTAGAAACGCTTAGAGTGCATGTAAACCCTAAATTAATTTGCAGTATATTTGGCATCATGCCTTCAGTTTTCTTAGAATTTTTTTTTAAATTTGTGAATTTGTTGCAAAGGTTCTTAGCTGGAGCTCCTGCCAGTAATAAAAGCACTTCCTGTTGCATGCTGCCAAAGCTAAGTCATTGCATGGCAATTATCTGCAGCATTGTCAGTTTGCCCTGCAAGCTCTTTTACTTAACCATTGGGCTGCCTATCTGATAGACCTGATAGGCAGGCTAACGGCCAACTGAAGAGTGCACACTGCAGGCTGGCAACTCTGTTGCTAAAGTTGGGTATACAGTAAACTCCCCACTATCCAGCATTCAAGCAACCAGCACTCTCAAGCACCTGTCAAATAAAAAAAAAAAAAAATCATATGTCCTCGTTTTTGGGTTTTTTTTGCCGATGGCTTGATGCACACTAAAAAATTGCCGATATCCTGGTGCACATTAAAAAATAGCAGGCTGGTTATTGCCGGCTGGCTATTGTTTACATTCTGCTGCCGGCAGTGGAATCTAGCCGTCGGCTGGCAGCAAGATGTAAACATAGACTTTAATTAGCAACTAAATAAATTTAGTTGCTAACAAACTTTTTTAGTGTGCGCCAAGCAACCGGCCAAAAAAAAAATAATCGAGTACATATCATACTATTAACTATACCAGTCTCAGTGGGTGCCAGGTAACTGGGAGTTTACTGTACATGGTTAGAATTTCAAAAGAACAATTTCAGATCGTTCGTACAACTTTCCAATCGTTGATGCACTGAAATCGTTGATTGTTTTCAACCGCAGTGACAAATATGCGAAGGAGCATGTTGGAAAAATTTTCTTGATCGAACAAAATTTTAATAGTGAATGTGGTGTTCGTTCAGAAAGCTCAATTCATTCCAAAATGAAATGTTAGATAAAAATGAAAATGAAACTACATTTTAAACAACAATCGCCAAGCCTCTAATGGTATTATCCAACGTTCCGACAGAATTTTTTTGTACTAACGTTCGTACAAAAATGTGGCCGTGTATACCCTACTTAAGTGTAAGGCAATTATTTTAGCGATTACATGCACTTTAAATACATCTTTGTGTTGCCTATAATAATACTCACATTATTGATGTACTTTTCTAACATTCATTAAAAAAAATTACAACTGGATGTGATTGATGGCTGTACATAACTCACTTTCCTTTGCTATATCATGACTACTGGTATTTGACAGTATGCGTGCCATAGTTTCATTATGCTTCTATGAATTCTAGGAAGCAGTACAGGAAGGATCACCAGCCAACTGGAATAAAAAAGACAACCTGCCTCAAGTCACTGATTCTTGGCATAACAATATGTGCAATGTAAGCAACATGTGATTGCAAAGCAAAATACTGTATATTGTTAGAGCTTTTTTTCTAAATTCATCATACCTACTTTTTTATTATAGCGTGTAGTACATGATTTCAAGTCAAAGGTTCTTCAGGTTTCAAAAACCGCATACCATGAGAAGTAAGCTTATTTTTGTAAAATTATTTTCATATTCACCTTGATATCTGCCTTAGTAAGGATAAGAATGTACTATACTGCTGATGATTTATTTAACACGTCTTATTTGACATGTTCTCTATATTTTCTTAGTGTGGCTGCAAAGATACCCCCTGTGCCCTATGAGTTTCCTAATGGATATAATTGTAAATTTGGAGAAGAACGTCTAAGAATTCCTGAAGTGTTATTTAATCCTTCACTTGCTAAGGTCAGGTTAATAAAATATTGAATTTATCATTAGTAATGCCTCATCAGGTTTGTTGTACATTTACTTCCCAGTTCACAGCATAGCACTACCTTTTTTTTGAGTAGATCTATTTTTCTGTAGATTAAATGGATTATTGACATTGGTAGTTTTATTGCAAGTACACAGTAACTATATAGTGTTATTAACGCTTGGCAAAACATAGTTAGAATCATGTATATTATTAAAACAATTCAACATACTTATAGGTAACATATAGTGTGTCATATTTTTTTGTATTGTCAGGACTAAAAAAATATGATATAATATTAAATAATTTTATTTTTATTTTATTTATTGAAGTTGTTAGCCAGTAATATTAAAGGGTCAGTCTACACAAAATCTGTGCCAGATAATAGCTCTGTGCTGTCCACTATTAAGTTTAAAGTGTTCCTGCTCATCACTCCTCCTGTTCCATTTTTCATATTTTTATAAAAAGAAAAGATCAATTTAAATATGGGATGCTTGTAATGGCTAGGGTAAGGATAGAGACCTGGGATTTCAAGTACAGAAATAACTACTAGACACTATCATTAGATACATATCAAAATGTCATTTTCGTTGGCTGACCTTTTTAAATCCAGAAGAAACAATGTCATCTTTATTTGTGCAAATTTGTATCTGCTGCATTTTTAGTTACATTTGACTTCCAATGCATTTTGTGTTTTATAACTGTAAATGTCGTTTTTTTTTTTTTAGGTTGTTTCCTTTTGTCTTTTTTATTTTTCCGCTATTCTCGCAATATATTATCAATACTTAAAAAGTGCAGCTATTGAGGATTGAATATCTGATTATGTTTCCATCTTTTTTTTTAGAATTCACCTGACAGTAGTATGCTTGGGATCACAGATATTGTATCCAGAAGTATAGAAACGTGTGACGCCAACATACAGCCGGTAAGCATGTCATAAGAACACGAATAAGATTTACTGAGAATAACCGCAACACAACTCATTCAGCAGCCTTAAAAAAAAACAGCAAATCATTGTTTGTATCCAGTGGAAGACATATTCACCCCACAAGACCATTATTCTATATAGATGGATGAATGGATGATAGATTCAGAGATAGAAAGGTAGGTAGATGGGCAGATAGGTAAAAAAAACATACCGTATATACTAGAGTATAAGCCGTCCCGAATATAAGCCGAGGTACCTAATTTTAGCAAAAAAAAAACTGGGAAAAAGTATTGAAATACATTACATTTGTTGATAATCTGATAAGCAAGAGGAGTCAGACAACGAACACCACCCCGGCCCCAGGACTTGCCTGGCCCACATATGATATAAATGGGTCCCCAACTCCCAAAGGACGGATTTGCAGTTGTACAGTCTGCACAATGGTATGTCTACCCGCTTGTACCTGTGAATTACAGAAGGCCCATGCTCACATCAAACAATTGGAGGCCAAGTTATACCTGTAAAAAGGTTGAAGCACTTGGGACACTAAAACAAGCTTAACACAATCATCTAAGCTTCTCTTTTTTTTGTTATTATTATCCTTAACCTTAATTTCATGGCAGCTAATCAGTATCAATGCAGTAATAAAAGTAAAAGCAAACCTGTACTGAGGGAAGTATGGAGGCTGATATTGTATGGAGGCTGTCATTGTGAACATAGTAGCTGCCTGGCTGTCAAGCTGATCAAGTGGCTTCACAACTGATCAGCCCCTGCTGCAGCCTCTCACGTTTTTGACTTGCTGCAAAGTGTCAGTCTGATTAATGGAGAAGAGACTGAGGAAATGTTTCTTTCTTCCTGCCTGCAGCAGACTGAGGGCATTATCTCAGCTTAGACAAACTAGAGCTCAATGACTACTATTTATTGAGGTAAAGGTAAAACTTTGTTGTTTTTTGTTATTATTTTGTTGGTGTATATTGTAGCATGTCATGCGGACTTGTAAAATTACTGAGAGGTTCACTTTAACAATATAAAAATACATGTTTCATTAAAGCCCAAGACCGGGAACAATAACCTTTCACAGGTTTCCAGCAGGCAAACAGTTGGAGGACCTCGCTGTCATACAGGAATACTTTTATCTCCTGGTAATCAGTTATTTTACATATTGAAGGAAGTACAGTTGCAGGTCTCGTAGACCCCGGGGCTACGGTCACATGTCCGCCCTCCTCTTCTCCAGGTCTTTACAAAACAGTCTGGAGAGTAGACATTGATTTTATGAATGTTAAGGATGAGAGGTTGGCAGAGATGAGTGTGCAGCCCTGAGATGTATGAGGCCTGCAACGCTTAAATCCAGAGCTGTACTTCTGCTGTACTTCCTCCATCGTGTAAACTAACTGATTAGTAGGCGATAGAAGCATTACTGTATGACAGCGACGTCCTCCTGAGCAACAAAATTGTTTGACTGTTGAAAACTTGTGAAGGTAATCATGTCTCGAGTTGGGTTTCAAACACGTCACCCTGCAATACAAATCCTCTATTCCTAATTTTGAGCGGTGAATGAAACATATGAGTGTATTATCACAGGGGCGTCCTGAGGCTGGGTGACACCCGGAGCGGTGTCCGAGTGTCACCCCGCCGAGACGTCACCTGCCGCGTGTGCACGATGATACCTGTATTCTGATACCTGCTGGTGGCCATCTTGGTGATGGACGACGGCAGAGAGAGGAGGAGACAGCCACCCGGCGGGATAAGGTATGCCGCCGGGTCCCCTCCTCTCTCCTGATACTGTCCGACTTTTCAGAAGGGGGTGACACCAAAATGACTCCAATGGTGTCACCGGGGGAGGGCCGCAAACCGACACACACCCTTGTGTCGCCACTGTATTATCAATACATTTATTATAACAGAGTTTGCTTTAGGATTCAATGTATAGCAGGAACGTACAACACAAATAAAACAGTGGACCATATTGACTAAAGGAAATCTTCAAGGGGTCACATTGTCTAATTAGGGCCACGTGCACTGAGTGGTAATGAATAATATAGTGATACTTGGGTACTTTATTACTTATACACTGAGTGGCCAGATTATTATGACCACCAGATGTTTTGTAGGCAAATTAGCTATAATTTGGCGCTGAAGTTGCTAGAGGGCCAGACCATTATAAATAGGGAAGAAATATAGTAATAAAGGGCCATAAAACTTTTCCTCGATTATTGAACTGCAAAATGATAATGAAGTGTAACTTTCATCAAGTGGGGAAGAGATGGGACCTCAATCACTTCAAATTCTTAAACAGGCTTAGGGCCACAGAAATGGAGTGAGAGAGATGCAAAGTGCCCCAAGGATCCCAAAGTCAACATACTTGATGTACAGTGAAGTAACGATGTATTGTATCTTGCAGAAAATGTTTGCCAATGTGATTGTAGTTGGAGGAAATACTCTACTGCAGGGCTTCACAGAAAGACTGACAAAAGAAGTTTTCCGGAAAACACCACAGGTAGGTTTATAATAAATTTGTTATACTATACAAAGCCACATACACTAAAAATGACTAATTAGGTCAGGTGGTTATTTGTACTTGTATACACTACCATTCTTGGTAAGAGTGAATATTTTACATATAGAAGATTGTGTATAACATATTATACATTAGATATGTGCACTGGCAAAACATTTGTTTTGTTTCGGATGTTTTCTTATTTATGTTTTTCGGGAATCGGGTCTAAAAGTCAATTCGTTTTTGGATTTCGGATGATCTGTTAATTTCGGATGTGTTAAATGATAATTACGAACGGAAATGTGTTTCAGAAAAGTGACATTAAACGTTTACTTTGTTTCTTTTTAACTTTTGACACTCCATGGAAACAAGAAATAAAAAACGTGCGGTTCCCCCAACAATTCATACCAGACCCTCTAGGTTTGGTAAGAATGTTAGGGTGGGCCCCTGATGAAAAAAAAACCTAGCATGCCGTTCCCCAGCAATGTATGCCAGACCCTTTTGGGAACCCCAACGCCACAAAAATGAAAGAAAAAAAAAAAACGTGGGGTCCCCCCTAAAGTCCTATACAAGACCCTTAATCCAGGTAGCAGCCTGGCAAGGCTGCTCGCTCGCCCCCCCCTCCCTCCACCATACCAGGCCACATGCCCTCGCCATTGGGAGGCAAAATGTTTAGATGTGAACAGAGGCCATAGAAATGAATGGGATTCCTTGTCTTGAGTGTTTTGCCACGTTTTCCTTCGAGCAAAAAAATGCCTAGGTGTGAACGGGGGACTAAAAAATGTTGATATAAATATATTCCACAAAGGCCACAAAGGATATAATTCCACTTTGTGTGCACCAAATGCCTTTACAAACCTATGTGAACCTTGTAAAAGTAGCAGTGACATATTCACTGTGCTGCACACAGCCTGTGCAACGAACAGAGCTGTGGGAGGGGCCCAACAGGTCCACCCACTACAGGCTGCCTACAGAAAAATATAAGAGGGGGCGGATACAAGACCCATCACCATGCACAAAGAGAGAGAGCAGCAGTGACTGGTCTTTATTATAGGAAGCTCCTGCATTCTGGATTACTGCACAGATCTGGAAGAAATGCCCAAACCATTATTCAAGAAGGAATACACATATTTCTTGTATTTAGACAATATTTGTTCATCCCGAAGCTCAGCTTTAGAACCCATTTTTATTACATACCAAGGGGCCGCTGTTCCTCTTCTTAGCACATGGTAGGGCATCAAACTGGCACTCCCCCAGACGCCACACAATATAATGTATTCCAGGACAATGAAAAACCATAAAATACATAACCTAACAGTTAGGATGTGGAATCTGTAGCACTGATGAACTCAGTTTATGAAATACTGATTGACTTCAATTCCTATGTGTTTTACTCTCATTGCATATAATAAGTTACACACATGATAATAGCAACTTCTGTGTTGTGCTTTGTTTTTAGAACACAAGGTTAAAGTTATTCGCACACAGCTTAGTTCCAGAGAGGAGGAGGCTTAGCCCGTGGATTGGTGGTTCAACCATAGCTTCTTTGGTGAGTAAAACTAATATTTTATATGTCCTTTTCCTGAAACAGTTATTGCAGTTTTGTCTAAAGAGCTGAAACATGCCGAGTACAACTGTGAAAAGGCCAACTTCAGTATAAAATAAATATCCTCCCTCCCAGTCACCCCTCACTTCAGAGTCGGGCAGCCTCCGTGCTGCCTGACAGGCTGGGCAGCACGGAGGCTGTCAGTGTGCTCGCCGCTGCTGCTGTCCTCCCGCCGCGGGGGGCCCATATACCGCCTGCAATGTATATGACTCGAATACAATGCAGGCGGTATACGGGATACACCGGCGCATCACTTCCCTCCTGATGTGGGCATCCTGTCAATGCTCTGCCCCCTTCAGACCGTGTGGCCGGGATGATGTCGGGCTCTGGCAGCACTAAATTGCTGCAGAGTATAAAATAAGTCACTGAGGGGATTGTGGGGTTGAGTTTGATGTGGGGGTGCCCTGAAGCTGCACACAGTAATGTAATTTCATTTAATTGAAGGCAGGTCAGTTAAACACCTGGACTCTTTTACTATGAAGACATGCTGTTGCCATAGAATGCAGCATGCGATTTAGCATTGTCCTGCTGAAATATACAAGGCCTTCCTTGAAAAAGACATTGTCTGGATGGGAGCATATGCTGCTGTAAAACCTGGATATATCTTTCAGCATTGATGGTGCCTTTCCAGATCTGCAAGCTGCCCATTCCATATGCACTAATGCACCCCCATACCATCAGAGATGCAGGCTTTTGAACTGAGCGCTGTTAACAAGCAGGAAGGTCCCTTTCTTCAGTCCGGAGATCGCAGGGCCCATGGTTGCCAAAAAGAATGTCAAATTTCGATATATCTGACCACAGAGAAGTTTTCCACTTTGCAACAGACCATTTTAAGTGAGCTTTGGTCCAGAGAAGACGATGGTGTTTCTGGATCATGTTCAGATTGGGCTTCTTCTTTGCATGATAGAGCTTTAACTGGCATTTTTGGATGGCACAGCGAGCTGTGTTCACAGACAGTGATTTTTGGAAGTATTCCTGAGCCCATGCAGTGATGTCGGACCTCCAACATTGCTTTTCGACCTTCTCCCTTGCGTACAGAGATTTCTCTAGATTCTCTGAATCTTTTGATGGTATTATGTACTGTACATGATGATATGTTTAAAGTCTTTGCAATTTTACGTTGAGGAACATTATTCTGAAATTGTTTTGACAATTTTTAGATGCAGCTTTTCACAGATTTGTGAACCTCTGCCCATCTTTACTTCTGAGACACTCTGACTCTCTAAGATGCTCTTTTTATACCCAATCATGTTACTGACCTGTTGCCATTTAGCCTAATTAGTTGCAAAATGTTCTTCCAGCTCTTCCTTGTTAGTACCACTTACTTTGCCAGCTTTTTGTTGCTCTGGCCCAACTTTTTTGAGAAGTGTTGCTGCCATCAATTTCAAAATGACCTTTATTTTTTTCTCAATTTAACCACTTGCTGCGTGTAGCCATAAGAAGGGGGCCACAGAAGTGGTTATACCAAGAACACGGCTGCTGGTGCAGCCATGTTCTTAATGTAATTGTAAACAGCCTGTGATGGCTGTTCAGGTACAAGCGATCCGATGTCTATACAGCTGCCGGATCGATAGGCGGAATGTGCTCCCTCCACCGCTGACTTCCCTGGGCTCCGCTGTCCCACGTGTGGGCCCGGGACTGGCACGGCGGGTCTCCCCACAATGATTTGGAGAGAGATCAGCAAACTTCCAGCCACTGATCTCTCCTCCAATCACTGAACCTGGAAGTGATGTGTATTACATCACTTCCAGTGTCACTGTTTACATTTCTCTGCTTCTTAGAGCCAGAAGAAGCCGGAGAAGCATATCTCTGCTTCCTCAGCTTCTTTGGGGTCCCTAGGTGACATCAGGGGTCTAAAAGAACCCTGAAGTCTCCATAAAGAGGACCTGTTACACCCTATCTGCTATTGCATAGGGGGCTGGTTAGCCCCCTAAGTGATAGCAATAAAGTTAGTGTAAAAAATAAAATAAAAATGAAAGTAACATAAAACATTTTTTTAAATGCAAACATTTTTTAAAAGTCCCCTACCCCCCACATACATACGCAAACACGCGTCGGTGCGCCTATGTGCAAAAACGAAAATTGTGCCATGCATGTTATATATCGCCATGAACGTCGGAGTGAGAACCATCATTTTAGAGCCATAAATCACTGTTAGCACTAAACTGATGAGTGGCAAAAGCTTTTAAAATGTCTCCTATGGAGAATCTGGGATTATTTAAGTTTTTTGCGGCTTCACGGGCGAACACAATTTTAAGGCTTGACATGTTTGGTATCTATTTACCGGACGCCACCCCTCTTTTATATTTTACCAAAAATATATAAATACTGGTTTGATAAAGATTTGTGCAAATACCATGTCACATAAAAAATTGCAACTAGCATTTTTTGTATTCTACAGGGCCTCTGCTTTCAGAAAATATATAATTGTTTGGGGGTTTGAAGCTGTTTTCTAGCCAACAATTCAGATTTTTTCATGTGTTTGCAAATGTAAGAAATTGCTCCAGACAGCAAGTGGTTAAACATTTGATACATTTTCTATTGTGAATAAAGTATGGGTTTATGAGATTTATAGGTTTATGCACATCATTGCATTCTGTTTCTATGTAGATTTTAGCAAATAGCAAAACTTTGGGGCACTCCAGCAAACTCTCTGTATCGGCTGGCAGGGACAACTGTGGCAATACGTGTCATTGATTTTAACATGAAGTATGTATCAATCACAGGCAGCAGGGGATCTGTCAGCATAGCCAGTACACTACTAGCAGAAGTTCAGAGGGCAATGGATTTACACTGCTAAGATATATTAGCAAATGCTTCTTACTGCACAGAGGGGGATCTGTGCCTAGACGATTCTAAGGTCTGATTTCAGCCCTTCTATACTGGAAACTTCACAGTTTAGTTTTCCTAATCAGACCCCCCTAAGCCCTTCTACCCCAGACCCCATAGCAGCTGCATGGGCTGCTAAGACTATTGTTAGCCACTGATCCCTGAATATCTTCATTGAAAGATTCAGTCAAACAATATAATGTAATAAATGTTGGAATTTATAGTGAACAACAGGAATATTTCTCTCATCTCAATGTCTTGCAGGAACCCATAATGGAGTCAGAAATCACATCATAAATAATGAAGTTTACATAGAAAAATGAGTGAAGTAAAATTAGTAACCACAGGGTGGTAGCATAATAATGTACAGGGTTCATTGAGCATTGTGGTTTTCTAAAGAATGAGCACATGCAGGAGCAGTTTTCTTTCTAATTAAAACTCTATAGAGCCCAGATTGAACAGGGGAAACAGGGACATGAGGACGTTTCACTTCTATGACTCCTTCTTTCGTTTATGTTCCTATTAAGATCTTTAGCCAGCAGGAATTTTCTTTCAACAGTGTATACAGTGGACAGAAGGGGGTATTGCAGGATCATTAAAAGAACAAAAAATACAAAGTAGTTACAGAGTTTCTCCATGCAAATCCATCTTGCTTCTAGCTAACCAGCGTTGGAAGCCAGTGCATCTCTTTTCCTAAGAACCATCTTTATGGGTTGTGGTCAGAACCCAACTTGTTTGGCATCAAGTGTTTCTTCTCTAATGTATTCCACAAACATAAGAAGGGGACTGAATTGGATCCTGGTATTACATCAGGCACTTGACGGATGGACATACTAGCCTTTTCATTAATCTATTGACATTTAGGGAACTGGGCATGAGAGAAACATGAAGGCTGCCATTGTTGCCGCTCCTTCTGAAAAAGCACTAAGGCCAGAGGGTCAGCATAAAAGCCAGGGAGTTTTAGGAAGCAGTCATTGCTGTTTTTAAAGCTACAGAAGCCAGGCCTGCCCCCCTCATCCCTGTGTCATTACTTTAGTCACAGAACCAAACTGATATGCCAATGCTTGTTCCAGGTCAATGATATACTAAAAAGTGAAGCAAGTGTGAAGAATGTACCTCTTTAAAACAAGTCAGCACCCATATTTGTATCTCAACAACATACACACTTTGGTTATTTATATGCTAATAGTCTCTTGAAGTTGCATTATTTTAAATGTGTTATACAGACATAAGGTAGGAAAACCTGATGGACTCAAGATGTATTTGTACTCTAAGACTGAATTATAGAGAAAGACCAGCATCAGCATCAATGTGCTTAGCACAGCAAATTGTAAATGGACATTTTAGGCCTCCTATTTGATGGTAACAATGACACTTCTAGAAAAGGGGCCAGCCTATCTCTGAAATACCGCTTTACAGAATGCTTCGCTAGGGAAATGAGGAATAGTGGAGTGCCGGCCTCATCTTGAATTGATGACCTTATGGTAGCACAGTTGGCAGTGCACCTATCTTCACAAGTGGACTATACACACAAGTGGCTAACTTGTTCATTTTGTTTTTCAGGGGTCCTTTAAGCAGATCTGGATTTCAAAACAAGATTATGAAGAAGGAGGAAAACAATGTGTAGAGGGAAAATGCCCATAACAGTTTAAATGGAAGGTTTTTGTCCTTGTTTGAAAAGGTTCTCCAGGGAAGAATGAAATGTCCATTAAGATAAGGGTTAGTTGAAGTTCCAAGCAATATCTGTGCTAAGCAGTCTGGCTGTTAGTAGCACTGATGTGTTAGACTGAATAACCCCTCAGCTCCCCTGTGTAGTTTAAAGAGTAAGTGTGCTTTTAGACAAAGTTCACTTATTCTTTTTGCCCCCTCCCCTGACCTAATTGTTCCCACCCTCACCCTCTGCAGATCTACTGTATACTTACCAGGATCTGAGGGCCAATCCTCTGCTGTTATCTGACATCTGGCACTGCAAGTATCTCTCTCCTGGCTAAGTCTGTATTCCTGCTGAGAGACAGCTCCATAGAAGTTTATGGGATTGTAATGTGCAGGTGCGGCCAGCAGAGGGAGCATTATGCCACTGCATGTAAATAATAGTAGAACTGTGCCTGTCGGATCTTGGTAAGTATGGATCTGCAGAGGGGGATGGGGGATAAAAAAAAGATGCACACTTTATTTTAAAGTGCACTTATCATTTAAGGTACAGCTCTCAAGTACTGCTGTACACGGTACAGTGTTAATTATATAACTGGTGTCACTAGAAGAAAAAAAAGAGCAGAATTTGCTTTCACTTTGGGAAGATTTCCTGTCACGTTTTTGGGAAAGAGGATCTAACTTTTTGCCACTCTGATACAATTTAGATTTTGTACAAATACAAAACAATTGGTATGATTTTTTTTTTTTTAGATGACCAAACTGGAGAGCCTCTTTTAAGCAAACTGTAGAATTTAAGTGCACTAATTTGAATACTAATTATTTAGAATATTTCAGATGTTTTATTGATTTTTCCCTTTAAAAAAAATAAAAATGTAATATGTTTGCTTTTTGAAATAAAAAAAAATGAATCTAGAATGCTGAAACCATTGTGCAATGACTCATCATATATATATGTGATGGGTTTTAAATATCCACAGCTATGGCACTACATATCTGGATCTTACCAAGTACTTCCAACTCAGTTAATGATCTAGTCACCCAATAAGCAGGCTAAGCTTTCTGTTGTGTGTGTGTGTGCACTTTTAAAAGTTGTACAGAAAATACATGTATGCCTTCCTTAAAGTGAACCTTTACCCCCTTTCACTAAAAATCACATCAGCATGCAGCTCTGCATGCTGATATGAAATCATAATACATAGTAAAACAAACTTGTTTTTCATTACAAATAGAATTTGTCCACTTTGGCACAAATTATGTTGTTGTGCCCAAGCATTGCATCCTGGGAAGGTTACATCAGCAGAACATTGCTGGGAGATCTTAGGGAAAGGCATTTTCCTCCCCTGAGATGATGTGCATGGGCACATGTGCCAGAGTTCCACGAAGTAAAGGGAGATGTAGGAACCTGCCCTAAGTTACAATGGCCACTGTCAAAAGAATGGGGAGGAAAACAAAAATAAGGTATGCACAAAAAAATAAAAGCCGGCAATTATGTAGAAGTATGTGTTTGTAGATTGCGATTACTAAACATTTCTAAAAGGTGCCTGTGTTGTTATTTTAAAGATATGGGTAAAATTCCTCTTTAAGATGCAGTATAGTAAATATAAGTGGATGAAACTTGTGAGGAAGCATATCATTAGATCTGTGATGTAACTGTACAAATCCTACAATTCCCCCTGTGGCAGCAAAGTGAGATTGTACACCCAGAATCTTCATGTATGTACAATCTATGTCTAGAGCTGCAGCTAACGATTATTTTCAAAATCGATTAGTTAGCCGATTATTAAGTTCGATTAATCGGAATAAAAAATAAATGTTAAAAAATGGCTTGTGATGGGACTACCAGCTTGTATTGAGATTGCAGTCCATCACAGGAGCAAGCGTGGAACGGTGGAAGTAAAAAATAAAAAAGTGTGGTTATGCAATATAGTGAAATGAAAAGTGTAAAATTATACAGCGCAATGCAGAATACCGCCAGCTATAATGTACTATTGCTGGGTTTTGTAGTCCTCTATAGCTGGTGGTATTCTGCATTGCGCTGTATAATGTATTATTGCTGGGATTTGTATTCCTCTATAAATCGTAAGCCAATTAATCAATGATTGAAAAGGTTGACAACTTTTTCAATAATCGATTAGTTTGTTGCAGCTCTATCCATGTCATTAATCACTACAACATTGTATGAAATGTTAAATGCTGTGGATGGTGACCTTGCATGAAAACACCTTACAACCAAACATCAGAGGAAAGATCACCACTTCATGTTCCAATTTGGTGCCTTCATTGTATAACAAAGGCATCCTGTAGGTACAAACAGTGAACATTCTATTTTATTAACAAGTATTACAACATTTAACTCCCAGACTTTTTAGCTATATGTGGGAAGCGCCTTTCCAGATCACGTTGTTTCTTTTTGGCTGTATCTCTTTTTCTTGCTTCAGATCGCAGCTGCTTTTCTAATTTCAACCTGCAAGAAACATGAAGCCGATAAACACCTTACCCTAATAAAAAAATGAGAGAAAGAGGGAGTGTGAAATCAGCATTTTATTGTCAACATTGTCACAGAGCTCAGTCTATCTTTATCAAAGCTTAATAGGCTTAATAAAGACGGTCTGAGCTTTGAAATGTTGACAAAAATGCTGATACATGTACACCTCAAGACCTGCAAGTACTTTTTTACCCATTTTGGTTTTGTATGGATATTTATTTGTGGAGGACTATCCAGGCATTTACCTTCCAAGCAGTGCAGTGGCAACCCTTGATTAGACAGACAGACAGACAGACAGACAGATATACACACAGTATGTGAACAAATGTTACTTGCCACATCTTGCTTGGGCCATGCATTCTCTCCATGTGCCACAGTGCTCGGACTCAACAGTTATTATTAACCCCTTCATGACTGAGGCCTTTTTTTAATTTTTTGCACCCATGTTATATTCCACATTTTAGGCCTGAAAATTACTTAAAACCCCCAAACATTATATATTTTCTGAATGCCAAGACCCTATAGAATAAAATGGTGGTAGTTGCAAATTTTTATGTTGCGCAATATTAGCGCAACTCCTTATTAAACCCCAATATTTAGTGAAAAATTTAATTAAGTGCCCCAAAACACAACAAAATACCCATTTTTTAATGAAATATAAAAGATGAGGTTACAACGAGTAAAATGACACCCAACATGCCCAGGTTACAAATTGCGTGCATCCGTAAAACCCCAGTACCCCAAAAAGTCCATAGAAGACGCTTTAAAAGCCCCCACAGGTCATCAATTTAGAGATACCCCAAAATACTGGCCCTAGAATTATTGCTCTCACTCCGGCGTGCGTGGCGATACCCAACATGTGTAGCGCGTTCGTTGTTTTCATACGTAAGGGCACCCGACGCATGTTTACGTGGCAACGCGCGGGGGCGGGAGACTTTTACATTTTTTTTTATTAGATTTATTTTATTTAAAATTTAATTTAAAAAACTTTAGTCTGTTTAAACAGCCCCGATGCTGGCGACGTACACTGTACGTCGTCAGTCACGAAGGGCTTAAGAAAACCTCCAGAAGACAATATTGCCCTGCACTAGATGTCCAATGCCACGGCTTTGTTGTACAGCGGTAGACGGGTTGTAAATGTGTTTTCTACCAACTGAGGTTAGCAAGTTTACAAACATGCCCATATCATTGCTTACAGACCCTGCTAAAAACATGATATAAAACAAAAAAAGATGCAGATCTCAGGGAAAAGGGAGACCCACTTGATAGAATATTTTGTTTCTATAGTAAATGAAGAGATATCATAACACTTATGGCACATTATGGAAATATTGAACATCCCCATTCAGCTTACCTGTCATAATGATCCACATATGGCAGTGCAAAAAACGTCTTTCGCATATGATTTTTATTCATGTGCCAAGGAATTGGCCATTCCTTAAATCTGTGCCTGAAAAATGCAGAACAAATCACACAGATCGTTAACAAGTATCTAGGTACTTTTGCATGAAAAAAATTACATTTGAACACATTATAAAATCAGACAAAAACAGTGCCTGAGCTCTCTTCTCCTGTGCAATATTTTCTGAGCACCTTTACAGTGATCGGTCCTTGAAGAAAGATTTAGGACTGAAATTTGAGAATTGTGTTATTCTCATTAACTTTATCAACATTTGAATGCAGAAGCCAGGGTTGGAATCTTTTAACCCCTTACAACCCCTTCTAACATTATAAATAAGAAAAAGCAAGTAGAAATCTTAACCGTTAAGAAGCCAAGAACCTGGCCTAACCCAAGCAAAAGCAATTTAAAACTGAAAAACATTTTATACATATTTTGTTTAGTGTATGCTATGTGAATGTAATAAATATAAAATAGATGTTATCCCAATTTGGCTGGGAAAGTGGAAATACACTTTAAGAGCTCCGCTAAACACTGTGCTACATATTAACTTGGGAAATGTGGAATTCTTTCTTATTTCAAGGTGTCCTCATGTCTCCAAGAGCCAGCCATAGTTGTAGAAATCTGGAACCTTTCTTCCGGCCAATGGTTGCATCTGCACTTCAGCTAGTCATATCTGACAAGTTCTGGGCCAGAAAGCTCAGTGGCCATAATGGAATCAGAGCTCTTTGTAAATTCCACTGTCAAGTTACAAGGACAGGGTAGCAAATACACATGTACCACTGCAAACAATATGGTGTCAAAGGTTACATTTAATTTGTAATCAAAGCAAAGTTAATAAACCATAAGCAAGCCATGATAATTTAGGAAGGATACATTTTTTAAAATGTTGTTTTTCCCTAGATATCTGCCATTACACCACACAGACAAGGTATATGGACTAATTTTAGGGGATATTCATGCCCTGCCTCTTGTCCTTTAATTAGCAGACTTGGATTATGATTGACCAATACTTTTTACAAGGCATGGCGGCTTTGACATCAACTAGAATGTATTTTACAAACGCAATGTTTAGACATAATGAAAGGTACTCTATATACTCCAATACAAATGAAATATACCATGTTGTTTCCCCAAAGCAGTCCTTCCTCCATTCTCCTGGACGTCCCTTTGCCTGACCAGTCTGCAGGAGACGAAGGGCAGTCTCCCTTTCTGTAACTACCTTGTCAAGGTTCTCCATGGACTTAGTTACCTTCAGGAGAAAAATCAGGGAGAACAAAAATGTCAGCAAAACAAAAAGCATGTTGGTCTTTTCTTTAATATCTTAAGCTCCATGCACATCAGTAACTGAATCTAGATACATATACAATGATCACTTGTAGGGAAATTGTGATGTAGTCTTAAGAAGCAGCATGGCACAAAAATAAAATAAAAAAGAATTATGGGGTACACCGTTTTTTGCCTTTTTAGTTTCTAATGATACAGGAGTAGATTTTGTACTGTACTCCTGTAATCAAAAATCCACCATAGGCTTGAAATTCAATGTAATATACTGTAGGCGGGGCTAAGCTCTGTGCTGACGAGCGATCATGACAATATTGTTGAGATTCTCCCCACTCTTCTCTCCTCCCATTGAGTGACAGGGGCTTGTAGGAGTTGCTGCGGGTTCATGAATACCTGTGCAGGCGCAGCAGCTCAGGACACCTCCTATCATAGTTTATTCGTGTCAGATCGACCAACACTTACACATCTGTCCCTGCAGTTCCTTCCCCACCTCCCCTCCAGCTGCTGTCTCGGGACGTACATATTTTTGGTAGATCTGACATGAATAAACTTAGATAGCAGGTGCCCTGAGCAAACTATTTTAGTGGAGGCCGGTGTTTCTAGACATAAACCAGCACAGACCCTCCCTCAACTTCAGTCATTGGTTGCTGGGACTGATGGTTTCCTAGCAACCAATGACATCAGGCAGGGCCGGTTCCTACAACTGATCTGAGTGGCTGTATAGCTCACTTGTACTAGTCTGCTGTTGTGCCCTGTCGCCCAACCCCCCCCCCCAATAGTTTTCGGGTCCCCCACTGCTCTGGAGTGGGGGCACAACACAGTGTCAGGATGGAGAGCAGGAAAGTCTGTTCTCTAATCTGCTGTAATCGGACGGACTTCTAAAAAAATAAATAAACAGTGTGATGCGGCGTGATTGGTGCATTAGCACCGCTTGGGAACACAGACCAGCAGCTGTGTGTTGCAGTGCGCCTGCTGGTGTGAATGCAACCTCAATGATGGACCGCGGTATGCGCATGAACTGAATGTCCATTCTGCCCAGACCGCGATTCGGACTTTGGCTCAATTAAAATTGTATTCACCGGACCTCCTTGGATTTGAATTCACTACCCCCGATGTATATTATAATCTATCAATCAGGATGTTATCCTTATCAAGTACTGTGCTGCTGGTAAAGTTGTACATCTATTAGGCCTTGTTCACACCAAGCGCAGATCCAGACCAGAGCAGGTGCAGACCGGATCAAAACTGCATCCAATGTATTCCTATGGTATTTTGACCTCCAGTTCACATCGCAGCGTGCAGATCCAGACCAGATCCAGAGCAGGTGAAAAAAACTGCGGCAAGCCCTATTTTACCTGCTCTGGAACGCATCAAAAACGCATGCAAGTGCCTGAAAGCCCATGTTAAACTTGAAAAAAAAAAAATGCCCGGAACGCGTCAAAACCTACTGCACTGCGTGTGCAGAAACCTGACCGGATCTGCTCTGCATTTGGTGTGAACAAGGCCTTAATGTGTGACATGAAGTAAAAGGTATATATTTATTGTTTACTAAATGATACATGTGAGTGACATAGGTTTCTGTTATGTCATCTCTACAACTGAGGGGATATGTGAAAGATGAATTATACTTGTACGAGTTTAGCCAAACAGAAGTGAAACTGGAATTACAAGTGCATCGATTGATGGACAGCGGTTTTTCAGATCAGACATGAATAATGCCTTGTTCATACCTTGTAGAGCCGATTAGAACTGGGCATAGCAACTCTCTGCCGCTTGGACTCCTGCTCTAAAGTCAGCAGCATGTTCTTCTCTTTCAGTAACACATACCTGAAAAGGACAGAAGTCTATTCACTCTCCAGACTGACATGCTGACACTCGATTATCCTTTACCCCTCACCACTTACCAAAGTTTGTGTAGATCTTCACTGCTTTTTCCTCTCAGCTGATAAATAGTCCATGCATCGCCTGAAAAGATAAAACACATAGGGGGATTTAGCAAAAATGGAGCACACAGAATCTGGAGCAGTTGCCCATAGTAACCAATCAGCTTCTCTTTAGTTTGCTCAGCTTTGAAAATAAAACAGAGAAGCTGATTAGTTGCCATGGGCAACAGCTCCACATTCTGCCTGTTCCAGTTAGTCAAATTATCCATTGTTATTTTTTTAATAAAAAGTTTATTAAGATTTTCAAAGAAGAATCTTCCAACAAAAGGCACTTTGTCATCAATTAGTACAGGAGACATTGTTTAAGCAGAGTCCGGGCCGCTACACGGTTTCATAGTTCTCATGTTTAATAAATGGGAACTCTTCCACCAATGGGAAGTATTCTATTTTGTTGTACCCTTCTTCTCAGTGACGGGACTTTAGGCGTGTTCCAATGTACAGAAATAAGAGCCTTGGTGGCGTTAAAGAGTTGACGAAGCAGCAAGCGTTTGTAATCAGCCAACGGCATGAAGGGGGCAGCGCAGTGCGTCACGTGATATGGCAGACTGGGTGATCTTTATAAATGTTCCTTATGGGAATTCATAAAACTGGTGCAGACATAATCTGGAGCAGTTCCCTGGGAACCCTCCAGCTGTTGTGGAACTAAAAGTCCCATGAGGCATCGCAAGAGTGACCGTTACAGGCAGGGCTCCCAGAGGCATGTTGGGAATTGTAGTTGAAGCACAGCTGGAGGGCCAGCGTTATCCACCTCTGTTCTAAACTCTCCTAACCCTAAAGCTCGCCATACATGTTTAGATTTCCCTCATTCAGCATGCGGGCCCCTCCATGCACATTACACAATGTGGGTCGAGGAATCTCCACTGCCGGCTATTGTATTCAGCAACCACGACACCTGCGGCTGCCGGAATACCTGAACACTGACTGCACCTGTTTGCATGCAAACACTGTTTGGCCATCAGTTCTTTAACTGACCAATTGAGCCAATTCAGCAGGGATCTGAGGAAATTCAAGCCACATATGGCCGGCTTTAGGGCATCATTAACAATTAGTAACAGTGAGTATTAGAAGCTGCAGCAAGTTAGATAGAGACTGCCAAATTTCCTGGCTGGAGGACATCCAGCTTTATCTAGCTCTTTCCTCCTTAGCCTGACTGTCCCCGGCCCAGCACTTTCACTCATTGGATTTCAGGTCTTGTAATCATGGAGGCTCCGCATTATATCTTGGCATTACCTAGGGTGGTCTGTATGCAAATGCAGTCTGCTAGGAATGCCCCCTCCTCCAGACTGACACCCAGCCATCCAGGAATTTTGATAGTTGCATAACTTCTCCCAAGAGCTACCCCGCTGCTTATATCAGGGCTGAGGGCTCTTGAGAGAAGTAATGAGGCAGGGTGCTGTGATTTTTTTTCCAGGAAGTTATGTACAACACCCTGCTGGCCCCTCCCACCAGCCATGATTTGACTGCATTGCATAAAGATGCACAGGGACCCAGTGATGGGTATAATAAAGGTATGTCATGAAAACAGAAAGATTGTATTCAAAATGTAATTAATATATTGAGGAGTTGTGAAAGGAAGACTCAGGGAAGAGAAAATATAAGCAGAACAAACTTCAGCTTTAATAATGTATTGGGGAATACAGAACTGCAGTATTTTGCAACTTTAAGGCCCCATTCACATCAAGGCAGCATCATTTCTGTGCGATTGTACAAGCGGGTTCAGCGTGGGTTTTTTTGCACGTTTATCTGTGTTTGCCACATTTTTACATGCGTAAAAACGCGTTTTGACTGGCAGCTCAAGAAACATTGCAGTCAATGGACGAAGGCGCGTACAAACGCGCAAGAAAATGTGCAGCATGCTTCTGCCGCGTGTTTCCATTGAAGTCTATGGGGGGAAAACGAGCTTGCAATTGCCAGAAAAAGCTCATGTACTTTTGTGTTTTCCTGCTCAGGTGTGAACAGGGGTCATTGAAAATCATGGCATTTCTTGTGTTGGGTGTTTAAAAGCGATTTTTCTACTGCTCAAAAACTCCTAGGTGTGAACCAGGCCTTATACCCCTATGCCCCTACTGGATCTGCCTGTCAGATAAGTTAGCTCTTGACATAGGCATAATCTAGTGACCCTAGGTCTGGTCTGTCTCTCTTACATAGACCTCTAATAGAGGATCAGTGTGCGAGAAGAAGCTCCTTTGCTTCTCAGACTAAGATATGAAAGCCGCACAATCCCAGATTTGACCTATGTGATCATGTATGTGAATAAATAAACACCTGACCTAGAAGAAAGAAAACGTATTACAATTACTGACCAGACTTTACCGTCTTCTCTCCCCAATTCTTTGGGTCATCAAAGAACTCCTCGAGGCCTCTTCGTGCTGCTGATGAGTGAAATGATGCACACTGCTGGACAGAGCTGTTTTCTGGAGTTCTTTTACTCAGGACTTGAAGCATTACACTGAAAAACAAGGAATGGAAGAGCTTCAATGTGCTACTTCATACAGAGGCTGGGGATACTATGCTGCTTTATAGACTCCACGCATACTATGCTCCTTCATACAGATCCTGGGGATACTATGCTGCTTTATAGACTCCACGCATACTATGCTCCTTCATACAGATCCTGGGGATACTATGCTGCTTTATAGACTCCACGCATACTATGCTCCTTCATACAGATCCTGGGGATACTATGCTGCTTTATAGACTCCACGCATACTATGCTCCTTCATACATATCCTGGGGATACTATGCTCCTTCATACAGATCCTGGGGTACTATGCTCCTTCATACAGATCCTGGGGATACTATGCTCCTTCATACAGATCCTGGGGATACTATGCTCCTTCATACAGATCTCAGGGATGCTATGCCCCTTCATACAGATCTCAGGGGTACTATGCTCCTTTATACAGTTCTCTGGGATGCTATGCTCCTCCATACAGATCTCAGGGATGCTATGCCCCTTCATACAGATCTCAGGGGTACTATGTCCCTTCATACAGATCTCAGGGGTACTATGTCCCTTCATACAGATCTCAGGGGTACTATGTCCCTTCATACAGATCTCAGGGGTACTATGTCCCTTCATACAGATCTCAGGGGTACTATGTCCCTTCATACAGATCTCAGGGGTACTATGTCCCTTCATACAGATCTCAGGGGTACTATGTCCCTTCATACAGATCTCAGGGGTACTATGTCCCTTCATACAGATCTCAGGGGTACTATGTCCCTTCATACAGATCTCAGGGGTACTATGTCCCTTCATACAGATCTCAGGGGTACTATGTCCCTTCATACAGATCTCAGGGGTACTATGTCCCTTCATACAGATCTCAGGGGTACTATGTCCCTTCATACAGATCTCAGGGGTACTATGTCCCTTCATACAGATCTCAGGGGTACTATGTCCCTTCATACAGATCTCAGGGGTACTATGTCCCTTCATACAGATCTCAGGGGTACTATGTCCCTTCATACAGATCTCAGGGGTACTATGTCCCTTCATACAGATCTCAGGGGTACTATGTCCCTTCATACAGATCTCAGGGGTACTATGTCCCTTCATACAGATCTCAGGGGTACTATGTCCCTTCATACAGATCTCAGGGGTACTATGTCCCTTCATACAGATCTCAGGGGTACTATGTCCCTTCATACAGATCTCAGGGGTACTATGTCCCTTCATACAGATCTCAGGGGTACTATGTCCCTTCATACAGATCTCAGGGGTACTATGTCCCTTCATACAGATCTCAGGGGTACTATGTCCCTTCATACAGATCTCAGGGGTACTATGTCCCTTCATACAGATCTCAGGGGTACTATGTCCCTTCATACAGATCTCAGGGGTACTATGTCCCTTCATACAGATCTCAGGGGTACTATGTCCCTTCATACAGATCTCAGGGGTACTATGTCCCTTCATACAGATCTCAGGGGTACTATGTCCCTTCATACAGATCTCAGGGGTACTATGTCCCTTCATACAGATCTCAGGGGTACTATGTCCCTTCATACAGATCTCAGGGGTACTATGTCCCTTCATACAGATCTCAGGGGTACTATGTCCCTTCATACAGATCTCAGGGGTACTATGTCCCTTCATACAGATCTCAGGGGTACTATGTCCCTTCATACAGATCTCAGGGGTACTATGTCCCTTCATACAGATCTCAGGGGTACTATGTCCCTTCATACAGATCTCAGGGGTACTATGTCCCTTCATACAGATCTCAGGGGTACTATGTCCCTTCATACAGATCTCAGGGGTACTATGTCCCTTCATACAGATCTCAGGGGTACTATGTCCCTTCATACAGATCTCAGGGGTACTATGTCCCTTCATACAGATCTCAGGGGTACTATGTCCCTTCATACAGATCTCAGGGGTACTATGTCCCTTCATACAGATCTCAGGGGTACTATGTCCCTTCATACAGATCTCAGGGGTACTATGTCCCTTCATACAGATCTCAGGGGTACTATGTCCCTTCATACAGATCTCAGGGGTACTATGTCCCTTCATACAGATCTCAGGGGTACTATGTCCCTTCATACAGATCTCAGGGGTACTATGTCCCTTCATACAGATCTCAGGGGTACTATGTCCCTTCATACAGATCTCAGGGGTACTATGTCCCTTCATACAGATCTCAGGGGTACTATGTCCCTTCATACAGATCTCAGGGGTACTATGTCCCTTCATACAGATCTCAGGGGTACTATGTCCCTTCATACAGATCTCAGGGGTACTATGTCCCTTCATACAGATCTCAGGGGTACTATGTCCCTTCATACAGATCTCAGGGGTACTATGTCCCTTCATACAGATCTCAGGGGTACTATGTCCCTTCATACAGATCTCAGGGGTACTATGTCCCTTCATACAGATCTCAGGGGTACTATGTCCCTTCATACAGATCTCAGGGGTACTATGTCCCTTCATACAGATCTCAGGGGTACTATGTCCCTTCATACAGATCTCAGGGGTACTATGTCCCTTCATACAGATCTCAGGGGTACTATGTCCCTTCATACAGATCTCAGGGGTACTATGTCCCTTCATACAGATCTCAGGGGTACTATGTCCCTTCATACAGATCTCAGGGGTACTATGTCCCTTCATACAGATCTCAGGGGTACTATGTCCCTTCATACAGATCTCAGGGGTACTATGTCCCTTCATACAGATCTCAGGGGTACTATGTCCCTTCATACAGATCTCAGGGGTACTATGTCCCTTCATACAGATCTCAGGGGTACTATGTCCCTTCATACAGATCTCAGGGGTACTATGTCCCTTCATACAGATCTCAGGGGTACTATGTCCCTTCATACAGATCTCAGGGGTACTATGTCCCTTCATACAGATCTCAGGGGTACTATGTCCCTTCATACAGATCTCAGGGGTACTATGTCCCTTCATACAGATCTCAGGGGTACTATGTCCCTTCATACAGATCTCAGGGGTACTATGTCCCTTCATACAGATCTCAGGGGTACTATGTCCCTTCATACAGATCTCAGGGGTACTATGTCCCTTCATACAGATCTCAGGGGTACTATGTCCCTTCATACAGATCTCAGGGGTACTATGTCCCTTCATACAGATCTCAGGGGTACTATGTCCCTTCATACAGATCTCAGGGGTACTATGTCCCTTCATACAGATCTCAGGGGTACTATGTCCCTTCATACAGATCTCAGGGGTACTATGTCCCTTCATACAGATCTCAGGGGTACTATGTCCCTTCATACAGATCTCAGGGGTACTATGTCCCTTCATACAGATCTCAGGGGTACTATGTCCCTTCATACAGATCTCAGGGGTACTATGTCCCTTCATACAGATCTCAGGGGTACTATGTCCCTTCATACAGATCTCAGGGGTACTATGTCCCTTCATACAGATCTCAGGGGTACTATGTCCCTTCATACAGATCTCAGGGGTACTATGTCCCTTCATACAGATCTCAGGGGTACTATGTCCCTTCATACAGATCTCAGGGGTACTATGTCCCTTCATACAGATCTCAGGGGTACTATGTCCCTTCATACAGATCTCAGGGGTACTATGTCCCTTCATACAGATCTCAGGGGTACTATGTCCCTTCATACAGATCTCAGGGGTACTATGTCCCTTCATACAGATCTCAGGGGTACTATGTCCCTTCATACAGATCTCAGGGGTACTATGTCCCTTCATACAGATCTCAGGGGTACTATGTCCCTTCATACAGATCTCAGGGGTACTATGTCCCTTCATACAGATCTCAGGGGTACTATGTCCCTTCATACAGATCTCAGGGGTACTATGTCCCTTCATACAGATCTCAGGGGTACTATGTCCCTTCATACAGATCTCAGGGGTACTATGTCCCTTCATACAGATCTCAGGGGTACTATGTCCCTTCATACAGATCTCAGGGGTACTATGTCCCTTCATACAGATCTCAGGGGTACTATGTCCCTTCATACAGATCTCAGGGGTACTATGTCCCTTCATACAGATCTCAGGGGTACTATGTCCCTTCATACAGATCTCAGGGGTACTATGTCCCTTCATACAGATCTCAGGGGTACTATGTCCCTTCATACAGATCTCAGGGGTACTATGTCCCTTCATACAGATCTCAGGGGTACTATGTCCCTTCATACAGATCTCAGGGGTACTATGTCCCTTCATACAGATCTCAGGGGTACTATGTCCCTTCATACAGATCTCAGGGGTACTATGTCCCTTCATACAGATCTCAGGGGTACTATGTCCCTTCATACAGATCTCAGGGGTACTATGTCCCTTCATACAGATCTCAGGGGTACTATGTCCCTTCATACAGATCTCAGGGGTACTATGTCCCTTCATACAGATCTCAGGGGTACTATGTCCCTTCATACAGATCTCAGGGGTACTATGTCCCTTCATACAGATCTCAGGGGTACTATGTCCCTTCATACAGATCTCAGGGGTACTATGTCCCTTCATACAGATCTCAGGGGTACTATGTCCCTTCATACAGATCTCAGGGGTACTATGCACCTTCATACAGATCTCAGGGATACTATGCCCCTTCATACAGATCTCAGGGATACTATGCCCCTTCATACAGATCTCAGGGATGCTATGCCCCTTCATACAGATCTCAGGGATGCTATGTTCCTTCATACAGATCTCAGGGGTGCTATGCTCCTTCATACAGATCTCAGGGATGCTATGCTCCTTCATACAGATCTCTGGGATGCTATGCTCCTTCATACAGATCTCAGGGATACTATGCTCCTTCATACAGATCTCAGGGATGCTATGCTCCTTCATACAGATCTCAGGGACGCTATGCCCCTTCATACAGATCTCAGGGGTACTATGCCCCTTCATACAGATCTCAGGGGTACACTTCTTCTTGCAGCAGCCAATCAGCATCCAGCATTCATTTCTTCAGAATAATTTGTAGCCCGGGGGGACATCAGCACACCACAGACCTGCCATGGCATACTTTCTATACAGGATTATAAAGCCTACTGTACGTACACGGCTCTTCACATAGGAAGACAGGACTGATCAGCAGTACCTAGATGTAAGGTCACGGACATATCTCAACACCTGAGCCTGTCCCTGATAATGGGGTCACCAGAAGGGTATAGGTGAGTCTTGTGCATCACACAGATTCTCTTACCCGGACAATCCGCCCACAGTCCTGACATTGATCTTCGTGGAGCCCTGGCACAGCCGCCTGCAGCCTACCAGCAGCATCCTCATTGTGGACGCCGCCATCTTCCCGGGCCACAGCTCCCACAATGCACCAGGGCCGGCTGTCATATGACGTCAAAGCGATCATATCGGTATCATACTCTGCGGTTTTAGAAAAGAACGGAGACAATTAGATAGATCTGAGTAGACCCTGTTCGGTGGTTGTGAAGTAACGAGTGCTTGTGGCAGGGTTTCATTACCCACTGAATGAGCCAGTAAGGGCAACTTGCCAGTACTAAACGTGTCTCTGGTGGCGTCCTCGACAGGCTGATAGTAGTACCCATAATCCCCCGCGCCTGTCCCAGGTGAACATGGCGGGGATGAGCCTGCTCCGGTCGGCGGTGGTCAGCCGCCTGCAATGTCTTCAGCGCTGGCCGTTCCGGAGTGATGTGTTGATGAGGAGAGGGCCGCCGGCTGCCGCTGGTGAGAGTACGGCCTAATCGGCCATAGTGTCCTGGGTGACCTCTGCCTGGGGACAGGATGACATTGGCTGGCTGTGCGGTCATAGGACGATGCAGATCACTGTGTATTGTAGTGAATATTGTGAGACAATGGAAGTGTGTCATGGAGTCCAGTGATATCTCTGTATGGTGAACTGCCAGTCCCAGACCAGGAGTGTCCCCCATCCTCAGGGATCATTGAACCCCATAGGCAGGGCATGGGGGGCTCACATTGGGCTGGTGTTGGTACTCTTTGGCTTGTGTTGATGGGTAAAATCAGTTTGCTTACAGGTGCATTCTGATTGTATTGTAGACCCTTGTGTCATCATTTAGGACCCATTCACACCTGTACATGGTACCGGTGTTCTAACAGAATACCGGACTTTGTTGGAAATCTGGACCCGGTCCACGCAAATGTGCGATTGGTCCATAAATTTCACCGGCTATTTGTCTGTCTTGTGCATGTGCTGGGAAGCGTGTCCAGATCATTTATAACAATCCGTGTACCCATTGCACTCCTTACCGCTTAATCCGTAATGATAGGTTGGGTGCATCAGTAGTCGACGGATGGCCACCGTCTGAATAAAGTATAGGAAATTATGGACACCGGCACTCCAAAGTAGAATAACGTCTTTTATTGACGTTCCATGCAACAATACACTTTTATATGCAATAAGTGTATTGTTGCATGGAACGTCAATAAAAGACGTTATTCTACTTTGGAGTGCCGGTGTCCATAATTTCCTATGCAGATCATTTACAATGCGCCGCTTCCCAGGACATGCGCCAGTGGCAATGAAATTTGTGGGTCTGAGCATGCGTGTTAAGCCGGCGCCCCCTGATCAGTGGCTCAGAGCTTGTGCATGCAGCCCATGCCCTGGAAGTGACGCATGGGTCCAGGGTTCTACCAGAACACCGGAATGCACGAGTGGCATCCGTGTGGATTAAAAAATGTTAGCGCTTTCGTCTAGCACGGTCTTCCACATGGAAAACCATGCGGGAAACGCAGAGGCTATATGTGAATGGAGCCTTAGTATGTTGTTGTGCTCTGGGGTGCCATTCATGTGTGTTGCAGTAAAACGCATGTTACTGCAATGTTATAGTGAGAATGGACTCTTAATGGAAGGCACCTTCCACAATAACCTAATTTTTTTGCTTTGCACATGTTTGGATGATTCAAGTCAACACAGCTTCACCTCATTCTCTTTGCACAGTGAATTTTCACTTAGCTTAGTGAACAAGCTGAAGCTGTTCTGACATGCAAGCAATAATCCCAATTTTGTTATTTCATTTTCCTTGCACGATTAGGTGTTCTTTGCAGAGTGAACATGCTCTATTCCTTTACTACATCAACCTCACTGTGTTTAATCTTTTTGCTTTCCTTTTTAGTGCCTGTGCGTTTTGGCAGCCATGGAAAGAAGCTCTTTTACATTACAGCTTCAACTTACCATGACACGAAATTTAAAAGCTACTTGGTAAGTCCGCTCTCCGTTTAGTAATAAGACATTGGGGGGAATTAATCAAAACTGGAGCAGAGAGAATCTGGAGCAGTTGCCCATGGCAACCAATCAGCATCTCTCTTCAGTTTGCTCAGGTAAGATTTTAAAATGAGACTGAGACGCTGATTGGTTGCAGTGCAAATCGGCTTCAGAATTTGTCTGCTCCAGTTTTGATAAATTCCCCCCATTGACATTTGGGGCATTTTCTGCTTGAGTGGTATACAGTTTAGAATTACTACCTGACATTGGTTTATCTTTGTTGATAAGACCCCTTTCATACGGGCATGGCCCTTTCCAGTCAGCAGGGGCTCCGTGCACAGATCAGAGCAGTATGGAACAGATGTCACTTTTGTGACATTCACCTATATTCAGTTTTTGCTTCATCTAGTGATGGAGGAAAAAACTGAACTTGCCAGACCCATGTTAGGTCTATGAGGAGTCGGATGTAAGCAGACGTGACCATTTACCTCCGATCTGTTCTGCAAAACCGAACTCACATCTGCTGACATCCAACTACCCATAGACTAACATTAACGTGACACTAAACTCCGGAGTTGAATCTTAATAGTTTGGGTACTTGAATGTATTTTTTAACAAAAATGTATCTTATTTGTGTATCACTCGGCTGTAGAATCATCTCTGAATTCTGACACTGTCCTTCCTTCTGGAGGGTGGCTACTTTTGTTCCCCATGGTCCCTGTGTGTTGTAAAGTAGCCACCGCTACAAGCTCACTCCTGTGATGGACTACAATCTCAATATAAATTACTAAACTAAATTTGAGATTGTAGTCCATCACAGGAGCAAGCTTGGAGTGGTGGCTACTTTACAACACACACAGGGACCATGGGGAACAAAAGTAGCCACCCTCCAGAAGGAAGGACAGTGTCAGCACCAATTCAGAGATGATTTGAGGATCTACAGCCGAGTGATACACAAATCAGATACATTTTGTGAATAGTTAAGTTACTTGAATACATTTTTAAGATTTAACTCCTGAGTTTACTGTCACTTTAAGCTTTCGCTCAGGTCCGCCTGTGTCAAACACTGTGTGAAAGGGGCTTTACACCAAGGCCATTCAGGTTTTGAAACTATTATAGTTTTATATTTTTACATAGATATTTGAATCTAAAGTATGTTTACGTCCACTATGCAAAATGTCTCAGTCTTGGCATGTGTTTATGGACTGGCAATGTCGATATGGCGATGGCCCTATGCTTGATATTGTGTTAGTAACTTGAAGAAAAGTCCTGAAAAGGTGTCTGAGCTAGCAAATTCTACGGGTGCATTGCAGATGAATGAAGATACTTGTGGAAAACAAACAAAAAAAAGTGTCTGCAGCATTCAACTCTCAAGGCCACATTCACAAATTTGAGGTCTTGTGCAGTGTGTTAACATGCATTGCGCTAAGGTATCTATTAGGGATGTCCCGATGCCACTTTTTCAGGCCCAAGTACAAGTACATCCCCTCATGTACTTGCCGATACCAATTACCGATACTTTTAAGTGGGTTCCAGCACTGTTAGTGGCCGGAATGCACTGGATCACGTTGCATTCTGGGTGGGAGGAGGTGTGAGGATGCCCTTTAAGTAAATAGCGTGGCAGCCACACCTCCCGCCCGCAGTGTGATTGCCCGCACCGGAACGCATGGCACAGCAATGGCCGCTGTGCGGTGGGATAGCAAAAAATAGTGCCAGCCACTAACGTGCTGGGACACACTGGATGTGGTGTGACCAAGCCCTTCTCAGAGAAAATGAACTTACCCACACCGCTCCGCAACCTTTTCCTGGCCCCACTGTTAATACCTGTATGCTGCAAGCGCTAGACCACCCTTACCCACCCCCCAGGGAATCTCTTTAACCTGGTGCTTTTGCCTTGATCTTCTGTAACTCCAGTACTCCTGTAATTGTAATGTTCATTTTGTTTACAGACATTCTACGTACTTCTTGGTCTGATACCTGCCACTATTGGCATATTACTCATCAATATTTTCATTGGTAAGTACCAACTGTTTATTTTCACTGTGATTTTTTTTTTTTTTGGTGTATTAAAATAATAGTGTATTGTTTTTCACAAATAAAAAAAAAAAAGGTTGTATAGCTTTCCCTGAAGTTCCATGACCAGTTATTAAACTGTCCTTGATTCCTTACAACCCCCCACCCCACACACCCCTGCGCAGGTGTTTAGTTAGCTGCCTCTGACATCAGCAGCCTCCCATGTTGTTTAAATCCTTCATTATTTTGTAGTCTATGGGAAGTTGCTGTGCAGATCTGGGCAGCACCAAGTGGATTTCTGAAGGGAGGATGTGAACACTGGGGGAAGCAGCCGCTGTCAGGGAAAAATATGTAGCATCTGTGGGGGGATGGGGGTTTCAAAAAGGTTAGGGAATGGGTCTTTGAAGTTTTGATGTAAACTTATCCTTCTAAAGGTTCCTAAATCAGAACATGGAAGGAAGCTCCTTCTGCTGCCGCCCTATCAGCACCCATAGACAAAGGGGCAAGATGCTATAACGTCATTGAGCTTTATATGGCCACTTGGCTATATTTGGTCAATTGCATCGACCCTTTGTTTATGTGCAGCTGCAGGGCGGGGAGCGCCCCAGCCCGCAGGTGATTGACAGTTGGCCCAATGCTGCTTTTGGGTTTGGAGAAGTTTTGGTTTGGTCCAAAACTGAGCTCATCCCTAATGCTAACAGTAATAACAAGCATTACAAGTACTGTATGATGGTGTAGGAAGGAGTGGCTCACCCAAGATCTTCTTTTGAGGTCATTAACATTGGCTATAAGAGCTGCACTGAAATCATTTGCTGTGTTTGAAATGGCAGTGATAGTAGGTGTGGAGGTGCCGACATTTAACAATGGCAAATATGAAATGTTGACAATAAAAGCTCTCTGTCCATCTTGTACATGTTAAGTTATATTTCATGTTACCAGGTCCAGCCGAACTGGCAGAAATTCCAGAAGGCTATACTCCTGAACACTGGGAATACTATCGGGTAAGCTGTAGCAGTGTTAGTAGTGTATAGTATAGCATTGAGTTGTTGGAGTCCAAAAAATGTCTTGTGCTAGAAACTAGATGACTGCAGGTATAAAGCGCTGGCACCTAGAGGATAGAATAACATGTCTGAATAGCCCAGCAGTCAGCACTACCTGCAGGATTTATAAAGCTGGTGCAGGTACCTGCACGTTATACCTGCAGCAGTTTTCTGTTTTGTTTATTTTTTTTCCTGGGTTGATTTACTAAAGATGTAGTTTGTTCACTTTGCTTAGTAAATGAGGTGAAGCTGTGTTCACTTCAGTCAATCAATGTACAAACAAAAAAACCTTCTTTTTATTCATTTTTTTCTGCACATTATCGGATACTTAAAGTGAACGTACACTTTTCCAAGTAAACCGCATCTACGCTTTTTAGTAAATAAACCCAGAGTCACTTTGAGAGTGAAGTCCGCAATGGAGCCTCCATATTTTTCTTGTGACAGGTTCTCTTTGAATATTGAGATGTTCTTATGTAAATGTGGCTTGAATCCAAACAATAGTAAGAAAAAAACAAACCAATATTGGCTATAAAAAAAGAATCGATGGAAGTTTGTATTAATGCCCTCCTACTTTATACTTGTCTTTGAGCTTCTTTACCTATGTTACTGGTATGAATTTTCTTTTGTCATTTTTTTTCAGCACCCAATCACTCGTTTTCTATCCCGTAATGTGTTTCATCCTGTTGATGAGTCCTATGAGAAAGGAATGGCTATAATCTACAAGGAAAATGAGAAACGCCTGCTCAGGTAGAACAATAACTTGCACTGTTCAGGTTGTTTTAAAACTGCTACAGACATATTTATATTTGAAGTGTCCTTGACAGCTATTTTTGTTTCCCACATTGAAGAAAATGAATAACATAGTCAGGAAAATAAATGAGCCAAATATGTAAAAGTCAATGAATGTATACCCCGGAAGTCTACTTTTGTAGAAAACCTTTTTCAGTTTGAACAGCCAAATTTTTTAAAAGACTTTGCTGGACGGTATTGCTTCGATCCCTTTTGTAAATGGAATATTTGTTCTGTGAACTTGTTTTAGGCTTATTGATCCCAATTTTTTTTGTATTTTTTACAAAAGTTGTTTGAACATGAGCTCCCTGGTGGGCACTGACTCTGATCTTTCAAGAGCTTCTCTTTGATCAAGAGTTACAGCCACCAAAGAATCTTCAGCATCCAGCACACTGCAGAATCCCCCCCCCCCCCCCCAATCAGATGTATACAAACAGGTGTCAGTTTACATCAAATTACTCCCGATCCGGCACAATCAGGTCCGCCGAAACATGACTCTGCTGCGTTTGTTTTTCCAGACCTGGCTGGATTCGGGGTTAATTGAATGACTGTTTAGATTCGGCTGCCCATAGACTAAAGCTGGCCACAGACCTTGCAACCATCGTAAGACTTTTGTCTAGCGTTGTTTGTAAGGTAATTAAAGAAAACGTACGATCTGCCCATCTTGGACAGGCAGATCGTACTTGCGATAATCGCAAGTATGCCCCGCTGAAGGGCGGGCTTTCCGATGACCGCATTGCTGAACGGGCAGTGTGCGCTTGCGGCACTTACGAACATGCCACACACCTGCCGACAATCGTGCGATTCTCGGCGGGTTTTCGAACATGTTCCTAAGATAAAAGTCGTGCGACCGTACAGTAGAAACGGTCGCACGGCTCCCACACACCTTGCGATAATCGTATGATCGCCGGATTTCCCGCAATTATCATAGGATTATCGCAAGGTGTGTGGGCACCTTAACACTGGATTTTCGATCAGCTCCACCTGAAAATCGGAATGCCCGTGTGAAAGGGGACTTAGATTGCACCTTTGTCTGGTATTACTTCATTCAAATAAATTCTGATTGGCTGCTCCAGGTTACTGCACGCTATGTGCTTTAAGGTGCCCATACACCTTATGATTATCGCACAATTACTTTCGTACAATGATCGAACCGTCGTCCGATTTTCCTACAACTGCCCCATCATGCACAGACCTTTGTGGGTTTCAATTAGCGTTCATTAGCAATATCATCTTGCCGAATTCTGTCGATTTGACAAAGGATTTTGGTTTACGCATGAGCAGTGTTGCGATTTTTCTTCATACGAAAACGCCACTAATCTATCGAATTTCATACGATTCGATAAAAGTTTTCTAGCCTGCTGGAAAGACAAAAGTCAAACGGTTGTACACTTCCCATCAACTGTGCGATTATCTTACGAAAACGCGATCGCATATGAAAATTGTGCGATAATCGGAAGGTGTATGGGCACCTTCTACTCCTTTGCAGTTTTCAAAGCATGCTGGGCTTTTTAACCAGAACGCCAACAATATATGTATGCTTGTAAGCACACTGTTTAAACCAAGACATACCTTTTTAAAGAAGAACTCCAGGAAAAAAATGATTAACCCCTGCACTGCAAGGGTTAACTGATCGTTTTAGTCTAGGTTAAAAAATAAAGTGGACTCCCCTGATGCTCTGAGCCGGCTTGTTTTTAGACCGGTCCCTAGAGCTTCTCTCTCCCTCCTCTGCAGCAGTCTAAGGTCCTGTAAATCATCACGGCTTTACACAGTATATAAACATGGGGACGCTAAGGAAGATTCCACTGCTGCAGCGCAGGAGGAAAGAGGCTGGAGGTAGCTCTGTGACAGCTGGCTGGCTCAGAGCTTCGGGTGAGTAACTGTTTTTTTAGCACTTAGATGAAAATGGGCACTTAACCCCTGCAGTGCAGGGGTAGCCCACTGCAAGGGTTAAGAAACCGTTTCCTGGAGTTCTTTTTGAACCTCCTCTACTAGAAGAGGGAGGGGGTGTAATACTCCTCTGTGACTCACACTGCAGTCTTTGCAATTTGATCTTCCTGCTCTTCAGATCTGTTTCACATGACAGCTGTGGAATAAGTTGGGGAAAGTTGTCTCTTGTAGGAAGCTTGCCACCTACCGGCTGTCATTGGCAATGATTAAACAATCATATTTTGTACTTGGTATAGTAATTGTTATACGTTCCCTTAACCCTTTCATGACTGAGCTTGTTTTTAGTTTCTGTTCGTAAATGACTGACACACTTTTGACATTTTTGCTGTGTGATTCTTCCACGTCAGTAATATACTTTCTTACAAAGTGCACCCACACATATTATATATTGTTTTTTAGAGGACAGATAGGGCTACATATTTATATCACATATGTGTGTCTAACGCCTCACTTAGGACAAATAAAATATAAAAAAAGAGGAAAAAACCCTTTTAAAAAAACACTTTTTTCCCAGTTTTGATTTGTAGTATTTTTTACAAAACCAGCACAGCTAAAAAAAAAAAAAATGCAATAAATACCTTTTATTTGTCCCTTTATTTTTTTTACACTTTTCACTATTTAACCCCTTCATGACTGAGGCCCTTTTTTCATTTTTTGCACCCATGTTATATTGCACATTTTAGGCCTGAAAATGACGTAAAACCCCCCAACATTATATATTTTCTGAATGCCAAGATCCTATAGAATAAAATGGTGGTAGTTGAAAATTTTTATTCAGGATTCAGCTGTCACTAGTTTTCTGATTGTTGCAACAACGGTCAGAAAACTGAAACATTCTCCTTTCAGGAATAGATACATTATGTATCCCTGAAAGTGAAAGAAAAAAAAAAAAGCCAGTATACGATCCGAGAGAGATCTCTCGATCTATACGAGCTGTAAGAATGTCGGCTTTTGCCGGCATGTTTGCCCGCTCTGCTTTGACTCTCAGACACCCGATATTAAGGTATCAGGTGTCTGAAAAAGGTTAACCCTTTCATTAATGAATGCCTCTATACTGAGGCATCCATTAATGAATGGTAACCGCTGATTCTCAGCGGTTACCAGCCCTCTAGTGCAGCAAATAACTCGTCACGTACAGTGTCCGTGACGAGTCATTTGGTCCCTTTGTGGCGGGACGTACAGTGTACGTCTCCCGTCACGAAGGGGTTAAAGAGGAACTCCAGTCATTTAAAAAAAAAAGATCCCTTGCAGTGCGGCTTCCCCAGCACTGCAGAAGCTAACTGCTTGTTTTGGTCTAGGACCAGAATACAGAAGATACTCAGCTGATCCTCAGTTCTTTGGAAGCCACAACTCACTTCTCTTACCTTCTGCTCTGGCGCCGGTATGTCCCTCGGTATCCTCCGAATCTAATGTAGGTGAATGGAACTACATTAGACACGATGACGTCAGCGGGGTGCAGATCGTCAGAGTCTGGGGAAGAAAAAGGCTGAGGGGACCGAGGATCAGGTAAGTATATTTTTTATTTGCGCCCCTAGACCAAAACTAGCAGTTTTGTAAGGCTTATTTTTTAAGATTCCTTTCTTTAAAGTTTCCTGTAGCTCTGGTGAGGAGAGGTTGTGTTCCATAAATTTGGCTATTTTATATACGCCAGCAATGTTCTGTTTCTATTTAGCACTATTTGTTATAACTTTGTCTCTTTTTTTACATTTTATTAGGCTCTATGAAGATACCGCCCGTGCCGCCATGAGAAAGAGGGGAGATGGTCCATGGTATTATTATGAAACATTGGATAAAAACCTCATTGACCATGAACATAAATCCACCCCTGATCAGTAATGAATCTGCTCATTTAGGACTCCTGTAAATCGTTTGTCACAGTAGATTATGCTATAAATGCCAAGTTGGTGTCATCAATATTCATAACCTTCAGTTTGTAAACAATAAAACGATATATATCTTTGCCACGTGTAGATTATTTTTCTTGCAGTGGAATGATAATTTCCATATAATTGGCGGATGCCTATTAGCCTAGGAAGGGATGTAAGAAAATCACCAACCTTCTTTCTGAGTGCCTTAGAAAGCTCTTTTGATCTTGGCACGATGACACCACGCACATAAATAGTGAAGAAAGCACCAGACACTAGATATCTGAGGTTTAAATAAGACAGATTCCACCTGCATACTCCTTTTAAAGAAGGTCTAATCATTGGCACCTAATCTGAAACAAGATTGGAAGTGGTGGTAAATATGGGGGTAGTTACTTTTTCCACATCACAAATCTGCATTGCCATTCATTTAGATTATGAGAATAAATGTCAATTTTGTGGGCCATTTGTTCTAGTGTACAGGTGAAACTCGAATAATTAGAATATCGTGCAAAGTTCATTTATTTCACTAATGCAACTTAAAAGGTGAAACTAATATATGAGAGAGACTCATTACATGCAAAGCAAGATAGTTCAAGCCGTGATTTGTCATCATTGTGATGATTATGGCTTACAGCTCATGAAAACCCCAAATCCACAATCTCAGAAAAGTAGAATATTACATGCAATCAATAAAACAAGGATTGTACATAGAACAATATCGGACCTCTGAAAAGTACAAGCATGCATATGTACTCAGTACTTGGTTTGGGCCCCTTTTGCAGCACTTACTGCCATTACTTTTGCACCATATTCTAATTATTCGAGTTTCACCTGTATATCAGCTTTGTCTTGTCTATAGGAACTGTTTGAATAAAGATCCAATGGTTACATGCTCAAATACATTGAAAAAGTGAACAGTTTCCATGAGGTGTACTTACTTTTTCTACATTACTGTATGTGAAATGCATATAAAAGAGAGCTATCAAAGAAAAAAAAAAAGCTGAATGTCTGAACCTTGTTTCTTATTTGTTTGTCTGCTTTATCCTCCTTATGTAGTGGGAGGTATGCTTTAAATATTAGGATATCTATCTCACTGCACTGGGGTCTGCTTGGTGGCAGATGAGTGCAGCTCAGCTGGTATTATGTGTGCCACTGGAGCCCTTTCACACGGGCATTCCTATCAAGTCCGCCTGTCAGTTCTTCAGGCGGATCTAATCGGAAGCCCAGTGTAAAGGTGCCCATACACTGCACGATTCTCGTACGAGAATAGCGGGAAATCCCGCGATCGTACGAGAATCGTGCAGTGTATGGAAGGTGTGCGACCGTTTCTACTGTACGTATCCGTCATTGCAGTCATCGTAAGCCCGCCCCTCAGGTGGGCGGGCTTGCGATGATCGCAAGTACGATCTGCCTGTCCAAGATGGGCAGATCGTACGTTTTTTTAAGTACTTTACAACCCTCGCAAGACTTGTAAAGTGTATGGGCACCTTAAGTCTACGGGCAGCAGGCTCTAAACAGACAAGCATCTGTTTACCCCTGACTTGGGACAGATCTGGAAAACCAAACGAAACAGCTCCGTTTTGGCGGACAAGATAGTGGCGACTTGGCGGTAATCTGATGTAAATGGACACGTGTCTTATTAAAACTGACACCTTATAGACCAACATGGGTCCAATAATTGCATTTTATTATCCTCCATTGCAAAAGGTAAGTCTATAAATGATCAGACTCAGATTTAGAGTAATCCATCAGAGCTTCCCAATCAGAGGGTAATCCATAGGAACTGAGTATATAGTCATGAGCATAAAGTGAGGTTTGCTCAAGGTCTGCTCTCTATAGGTTGGACTCGATGGGCTTGTGTCTTTTTTCAACCTGACTAACTATGTAAAATAGACCAGAAATTGCTTTTCCCAAGTTGAAGAACTGTAAATTCCTTGTATCATAGATAGGCAAACTCGCTTCAGCATATATAGGTTTGGAAAATCCTATGGTAAGTGTCCTTCAGAATAACGGTTAAAATGCGGATACTGTACAAGTTAACAACATAGGGTAATCCATAGGGACTTCCCCAAGTGTATAGTAGTACTGAGCATATAGCAATATCTACCTTAGGGTAAAATAAACCAAAGGTTACTAATCCCCAAGTTAAAAAAAAAACACAAAACATAAACTACTTATTTCAGTATTCCTAGGCTATCTCACCTTGGTAAATGTGGATACAGGCTTTCCTATGCATCTGGGGAAACGTCAAGGCAGGTCCCCACAAACCTAGAGGATGTCACCATCTCTTCTCTATATAAACCCCCAAGTGCACCACCAGCCACACTCTCTTGAGGGGGTTTTATAATTTAGGAATAATCTAGGGGCTGGACTAGGTGTCTGTCCTGAATGAAATCTACTCCCAGTTTCCTCCAGCACTGCTTTTATAATGAACTGCCTGTGCAAGCTATAAGAAGAGCAGGGTAGGCTGAGCATTACCAGAACTCAGGTAATCAGCCCTGGAACCTGGAGCAGAGATTTTTCTATTACTCTGTTTATCCATTTTAGCACAGCTGTCAATCTAGCTTTAAGGAAAAAGTCTGCTTTTAGTGATTTTTCGTTTGTTAGAGTCGAGACATTACAGAAAAAGTCATATTTATGTTCTCAGATGGTAAGATCACAGGCAGCTTGGCTAGGCCACCTTTGATCGCATGTGTGTCACTGCTCTCCAAATCGGTCACAAAGTTAAAGGTAATTTGTACTGAGAGCAGTGTGAAGGCTGCTATCACTGACCTGGAAAATACTAGCTGGCTGCTTCTGGTCTTAAAGTGACACTCAGGAGTTAAATCTAAAATAAGGCATTCATGTACCTTAACTAATAACAAAAATGCATCTTATTTGTGTATGACTCAGCTGTAGATCCTCAAATCATCTCTGAATTGGTGCTGACACTGTCCTTCCTTCTGGAGGGTGGCTACTTTTGTTCCCCATGGCCCCTGTGTGTGTTGTAAAGTAGCCGCCGCTCCAAGCTTGCTCCTGTGATGGACTACAATCACAATACAAATAATAAACTAAACATGAGATTGTAGTCCATCACAGGAGCAAGCTTGGAGCGGTGGCTACTTTACAACACACACAGGGGCCATGGGGAACAAAAGTAGCCACCCTCCAGAAGGAAGGACACTGCTCCAAGCTCACTCCTGTGATGGATTACAATCTCATGTTAAGTTTACAAATTTGTATTGAGATTGTAATCCATCACAGGAGTGAGCTTGGAGCAATGTCCTTCCTTCTGGAGGGGGGCTACTTTGTTCTCTATGGTCCCTGTGTGTGCTGTAAAGTAGCCACCGCTCCAAGCTCATTCCCGTGATGGGCTACAATCTCACATTTAGTTTACTCATTTGTATTGAGATTGTAGCCCATCACGGAAATGAGCTTGGAAAGGTGACTACCTTACAACACACAGGGACCATTGGTAACAAAAGTAGCCACCCTCCAGAAGGAAGGACAGTTGCAGCACCAATTCAGAGATGATTTGAGGATCTACAGCCGAGTGATACACAAGTAAGCTACATATATGTTAGAAGTTAAGATACTTAATTGCATTTTTTAGCTTTAACTCCTGAGTTTAGTATCACTTTAATACTTTCTAAAACCTCTAAATGCAGAAGCTGTTTGATCAACACGACAGCTAGGGATTTCATATTTTCAGTAGACGATGTTGGCAATGGCAGCCTACACACTTCTCCCTACAGCTTTCCTCCAAACGCCTGGGAAGTATATGATGGAAACGGACATTATCTGCATAACTGGACTGGACCCATTTACCAGTTTTAAATCATTCCAAGCAATCCTTTTCACACTCTGCTAATAAGCCAGAGACTTTTGTCGTCGACTGTCGTCTAAAGGTGCCCATACACTGTGCGATTATCGCGGGAAATCCCGTGATCGTACGATAATCGCAAAGTGTATGGAAGGCGTGCGACCGTTTTTACTGTACGGTCGCACGTCTTTTGTCTAAGGAACATGCTAGAAAACCAGCCGAGAATCGTACGATTTTCGGATGGTTTTTAGCATGATCGTAAGATCAATGCCGCACGCGCACACTGCCTGTTCAGCATTGCGGTCATCGGAAGTCTGCCCCTCAGCCCTCAGGGGGGCGGGCTTGCGATGATCGCAAGTACGATCTGCCTGTCCAAGATGGGCAGATCGTACGTTTTTTAAATTACTTTACAACCATCGCAAGACTAAGGTCTTGCGATGGTTGTAAAGTGTATGGGCACCTTAAATAACTAAAAATTATCTGTTGGAACCTGGAATTTTGTGTCTCCTGGGCACATGCTACTTCTGGGGCAAACAAAATTGGTTTACTGCCATGGAGCTTGTATGCGTTGTGTGTGTCTTCTATCAAAGACTCATCAGACAGGTGATTAGTGTTAAATGTCTGGCTGATGAACAGTCCTTGTGCCACTGCAGATGGAGGATGTTGTTGCTCCAAACAAGGTATGTGCAGCTGCTGTTTTCACTGAGAAGTTACTGCTTCTTTCCTTACCTTCTGAGTCTGAGTCCACAGCAAAGCAGAATCAATGGATCTTTAAAAATATGTACATTGTAATGAGCGAGACTTGCTTGTGTGCTGTGACATTAACATTTGTTATTATTAAAGGAGCATATACTATCCTATTATAACATCAGCATTGTAATCCCTTCCGTCTGAACATTTTCAACAACTTCCTGGATTCCCAGTGTACTTTACGTGTCTTTCCCTGACACTTGATGTGACGCAATCTTGATTTCTCAAGACTACATATTCCATCATGCTTTGCTTCCAGCAAGCAATGATAATATTTTGTTAAGTTTGTCGTAATTTTACACAGATTTGTTTATTAACACTAAAGTGTGTAATTGGTTCACATAGACCAAGCACAACATATTTGCTTTACAATTATAATATTGCATTGTTCAGATGTTTAGTTGTAGCAATTTACACAAGGCAAAGTGAAATTGAGTCAGCACATTGAGGAATTAGGTCCGATGGGTCATCTTCAATAAGTACGTTTGCAAACTTCTAGACGGAAATGGTTATTAGGACTGGGATAGAACTTATGGATAT